TAGGTTGGCAGAAGCTGGGACAAGTAATGCGAGCTTACCCCATTATGTGGCACTAGAGATTCGACCCGCTGAACTGCCAACCTTTCGATCGACAAGCTCAGTGTCTTAGCTACTGAGCCACCACATCAGGGGTGAAATGCTCCCGGTTCGGACCGGATTGGGCAATCCAGTAGTGATTGTGGCAGGTGGTTTGGAGAACCGGCAGCGATGGTGGCGCGAGGCTCCGCCCACCTGCCTGGGTGTCATTACTTCCTGCTTTTAAAAGGTAAAAAAAAGTCTCTGACGATTGTGCGCCACAGCTATGATCGTCAGAGCCTTTTTTTATCTTTTAAAAGCATTTTTTTTACAACCTATTCACCCGAATAGGTTGTAAAAAAATGCTTAAAAAAAAAATTGGCCACACCCACCCAGTCACATTATCCCCACACAAAGCCATGCCCACAGAACCAGTCGTAACAAATTTTACATTTCACCACTGCACCACGTCCCTTGCATAGCCTAGCGCAGGGCTATTCTGGTTATCAGAGAACATATTTCTCTTGTGAAACTTCCCAAGGGGAATTATTACTGGATAATCACTATGCTCTGCTCCTGAAATATTATGACCAGGAAAGGCCAGAGCAATGTTTCTCAGACTCAGCAGGTGTAAGATATGTGGACTCCAACTCCCAGAATTCCCAGCCATCCATTATGAGGATTAACTCTGCACATCATAAATCTTGCTGAGTCTGAGATACACTGGGCTAGTGAGATAAGACACGATCATCTTTCATTTGTATCCTTCCTCGTTTTCCCAATTATTCCATTTTATTTCTTATTATTGTGAAAGTGGGAAGACTAGCATAGTTCCTCAGTGTATTTTGATTGGCAACACTGGGAAAAATTTTCCCTGGAGCATTCCTGAGGTTTTGTTTTATTTCGGGCAGGCAGTGTGAGTCTACCTTTAAATCAGGGGTGTCGGTCAGGCTACGAAAAAAGCATTTTGTTCCACTGCCAAGAATGCTTGGAGATGCCCATCTCTCAGTTCTGCACATCTCTAGTTAGAAGCCAATCTAATTGGTCTTGATAGGATCTATTTCAAATTAAGCATGAATGGAAGTACAGCTTTTACTTAGCCCCTAGCATTTCCTTGATGCTTATGTCACTGATAAACTTCAGCTTTAATGACCTCACAGGAAACAATTATAGTTTGAGAAGACATGAAGGTGTACAAAAGCAATACTTCCAAGCATATCCACTGCATGCCACTGCTATCTGATACTGCGGGTTACTTCAAGTGGCCACTGTCTTCTGTTGCAAATTCTCATTTGAAGAAGCATCTTCCAAAGAAATAAGGCACAACTGCAATTCATGAAATTGAATTTGAAATTCAGATTCAAATTGAAAAAATTGAAATTGAATCTTATGCTGTCCTAATGTTCCCTTTAGTTGTATTCATTTTATGTATTCAATTCATGCTTATACTTATATATATTATCTAATACGTACTCGACAAATAAATAAATAAAATAAATTCTTTGGGGTAGGATTTGCAGGCACATTGTAACCTTTTGTCTTGATAATGTTGTCAAGAGAAACTCCGAGCTGAAGTTTCACAAGAAGAATGCTAAACACGCTACGTGGACAGAGGGTAGTTCATTTCAAGAGAAAGGAATCTGCCCTTGAAAGGTGGCTACAAATGGGGGTACAAACTCTAGAAATATTTATAGGGAAGGTGATCTTTATGGAGGTGTAGTATATGAGTGTATATTGGGATGGTATTCACTTACTTTTGCTACCGGTTCGCAAATGTAAGCAGACACGCCACCTCCTCAAATGTGCCACCTCCACACATGCATAACACTTTCTGTGCATGTCCAGAGCATCAAAAACGGGATGTGATGAATCCAGGTGGGTGGGCCAAGCCGCCGCTACCGGTTTGTCTGAATCGGATAGAACCGGCTGAATACCACCACTGGTGTGTATGTGTCTTAGATGATATTTAATTTGGTGAACATGTAACTTTGGTGAGTAAAATTTTTAATTGACTTTTCTTGTGCTCACAGATATTTTTCTTTGGTGTGTGGATTAAGTTGGGGTAATTCATTTGTGAGTTCAAGAAAGTTTGTGTAAAGGATTTTCTCTGATACTTTTACTTGATCCAATCAGTATTAGCTCTGCTGTCAATTTCTTAGGCCAGACTCAGCAATCTTTTGCAACGATGTATTTACGTTTGAAGGGTCCTTGATGCTCTCTGAACTTGGTTCTTTTCTTGGGAACGTTTCATTACCCAAACTTGATATCAGTCTTCATTTCACCCTAAACTACAATATTTTCCTTTATTGGTATTTATCTTTGCTTGCAACATAGCTTCCAATCTTATCAATTGTGGATTTTGTTAATGATTAAGGGAAAATTAACGACAGTGCAGAAATAGAGTTAATTTGATTTTAAGATATTTTCCCTATAAAAGAATACTTTTCATATTTTAAAATGTGGCAAAACGGAGAAATTAATAATTTCTACACCAATATATGGTGTAATAGCATGCTGGAATGACCCTGGGAGACTGCAGGGAGAACTGTAGAATGGACAACCAGTGTGTAGAAGCTTTATCAGTCCACTGAAGAAGGGAGGGTGTGTGAAATGTTTCAGAAGAGTGGAGTGGAGTGGAATTAGGTGTCCATTTCAAGTCCTGAGAGATTATAGAACTCAGAAAGTTGTCTATTGTTGAAGGTCTCTATTGTTGATGCGGTATTATCTAATATTGTAAGAGGTGGTAGAATAGGAAGCACCTCCTAAAATCTATTACTATCTCTACTCTTTTGTGTTCACTCCATATTGTTCCAGCTGCACCACAGGGCTTCCCATCTGTATGCAGATTCCTCATCATCTCAAATGAAACCAATGACTCCCACTCTAGCTTAGAAAGGATCTTCTCTAGTTTTCTGGAGAGTAAAATGAGAGAAAGGAAGAAATACTTTCAATCTTGCAAAATTCAGTTAATTTTACAATAAAGATAGAACTAGTACTCCTGGTTGTGCTTCTTGTCTGAACTAACTTGCAGGGCTAACACATGGGGAATGATCATATCAACTAAATCAAATTTCACTTTTGCCCAGATCTGGTAAGTTTTTAGCACACTTTCCAGTGTAAATCTAAAACAGGGTGTTAAATTCGCAGCCTGCAGGCCAGATGCGTCACATTCTGGCCACACCCATGCCTGATTTAGCAAAGGGGGGGAGTCATAATATGTCATGTGACAACTCCATGACAACACAAGTTTGACACCCCTGATCTAAAGATCAAATGTATCCCAGGCCAATAAAAATCATGTTCTTAGGATTTTCCTCTTTTGGTACCATCACTGGGGCAACTCATTTATTTTAATTCTTGTATTTAATGGCACTCAGCAGTCCCACTTTGAAAGACTGTGTATTATTTGTTGTGGGGAAAAATATACATTTTAAATAAAAATAAAATTCGCCATTTGAAAAACTCGAAGGGATTTGTTGCTTCAATAATGTTTCCATTTTGATGAAGAACATCGATTTGAACTAAAAGTTTGATTCTTTCCTGTCTCTTATTCATACCTTGGTTCAGGAATCCTTGGTTCAAACTTAACCTAAACATCCTTCTTTGCATGTGATTAGCAGAGATGCCAAAGCTAACTAAGAACCAGATCATTGACACATAAACTACAAATTGTAGCTAGAATTATTCAGAATTAGGGATCCTTAGATTATTTGCAGAGTGGGACCTGTTGGCAGTTAGTGCTTTCCCTTTTGTACCTTCAAAGAGATCTTAAATTCCAGGTCTTGACAAGTCCTTGGTACTCAATGAGCTTGGTGATTTTCTTGCAGATATTTCATTACCAAACAAGGCAACATCATCAGTGCTAGGAGGGAGTGGGGTTTGCTCTTATTTTTATATACTAGTGACCTGCCCTATCATTGTAGGTGGGAGTGTTCTTAGTTAGGCTGTTAGTTTGTTTGTCTTGTTGATAGTTCCTTGATTGGGATATTGTTTACTTCTTGATTATTGGTCTAGTATTCATCTTTGTGTTAATCTCTGCTCATCTGGATGTTGATTGGTTCTCTTTTACACAAAGTGAAGAATGTTTGGATCTTTTTGATTGTCTCTTTTGAGGATATTGAATTTTAGCCTGAGCAGCTGCTTATTAGGTGGGCCTGGTCTAAATTCCCAAAGATTAAAAATTCCTACTTTTAGTAGAATAGGAGTTAAGACAGGGTCTCACAAGGTTCCAAAGAAATAGAATTCTCTGATGAAGCAAGCACAGACTTTCACATTCAGAAAGTCTGAATCTGAATCACACATTCAGAAACTTGAGCAAAAAGGAAAAGAGCAAAAGGAAAGGAGAAGCAGATCCTTTCACAAATCAGTCTTCCCTAATCTGGGTGTCTTCTATATATGCTGGGAACCCATTTAGCTAAATAATGGGGGAGTATCTATGGAGATTCTCAGTCACCCATGTCATGGTTGCCCCAATGATGCTTTTTCAAAGGCAACTGGACTTTGTTTTTTCTTGAAGATGTTTCACTTCTCATCTTTCAGTCAGAACTGAAGAAGCTTCTTGGATAAGAAATGAAACATCTTCAAGGAAAAACAAAGTCCAGTTGCCTTTTGAAAAAGCACCTTTGGGATAATGTGGGAGCAATGTTCCAAAGACATCTGAAGAATAGCAGGTTGTGGAAAAGAGTAAACCGTTCATCAGGTCCTGTTGCATGAATTTTGGTTTGTGCTTTGTGTTGATGTTTGGGTATAGCATCTACACCTGAGTAGTTTCTCCCCATGCCTAAGCCTAAAAGACATTACATTTAAATCTCTCCTTGAGTCTGGAGGTGTTCAAGAGTCTGATTGGCTCAACACAATCTGTTATGGGCCCTTCTTCCACTGTCATACAGAGAACAGAACACCAAGATCAGTAGGAGTGTGGTAGAGCTGCACAGGTATTTATAGATCTCTTTCGGCACTTTGGATTTGGTTTCAGCTCCCAGGACCCATCAGCACATTCCTGAGGCTGCTGAGAATGTGTGTCCCTTCCAGGTCACTCTCTCCCTCTTTAAATACTCTGGACCATCTCTTTAATTTCTGACCACATAATTCCCTTCAACCTCACCCTCCAAATCTTTTTACGCCATACTCCAGTCTTTTCCTTATTCATGCACTTCACTATTTCGATACTCACAAACATGCCTTTCAGTCTGTCCGGCCTTGCACTTCGTCCAACACCAGTAAATCAAAGAAGGAAATGTTGACAACGTATCTATGTTGTTTTATTTTAGTGCAAGCTTAACTAAAATGGTCATGTTCCAGCATTTCAATGAAAATAATTACACATATACACAATAGCACTTACAATAAGCTACTTGTTATTGCTATTCTTTTATCATCTTTTCCAGTCCAATTTTTAGATTGTTTGGTTTAATGAAATTCCGCTATCGGCTCTAAATCCACAAGGTCCTTTTCTCCTTTCAAGGACAGATTCCCTTCATCTAATCCCAGACAATCAAAGAAACCAGTATTCTGCTAGATTACACACTTCTCAGTCTGATACCCACCTAGGAGCTGTAGCTCATATTTCTCATTGCACTAAAACTTGCTGGCTTCTACTTTGAGGGACTAATGTGCAGTTGCTCTGAGCAGCTAATAATAGCATGGCGGTATGGCAAAGAGTTTAGTTCGCTAATGTTGCTTCCCAACTCATTCCAGCCCAGTGTTGTCATATAAGGGCATGGCAGGAAGCCCATGGCTTGATTTTCTCATCTATCCCGGAGGCCAGGCCAGGCAGCCATTGGCTGTGATCTGAAGGGCTAATCTAGGCCAGCTGCAAACGTCACTCAAATAAGCCATAACTGGAAACAGTATTCTACCCCTGAGTTCTCCTTGTGTGCTGTCTGTTTTTCCTGATTGCCTGTCTTTGGGATCTCCACTAAGAATTCTGGGTGCAAGCAACAGGGCTTTTACCATGGCTTCTTGGAAAGTCTGTATGCTTGGCCTTCTTCTGGTCCTCCTCTGTTCATTCCAGCTTCCTAGAACACAGGGTCAACAACACCATCACCACAGCGATGTAGAATACCATGGAAATGAACATCATCATCCCAAAGAGCATCACCATGATGCACACCATTATCAACATACAGAAGATGATGGTGATGATGATGGCCATGCTCACCATTATGCTACTCAGGATAAGGATGCTGGACATTACCAAGGAAGTCATCATTCTCAACATGAAGATGATGACAATGAAGAGGAACACCATCATTCTCATAGTCCTGATCACCACATTGACCATCACCACCATGATGATAGTAATGATGATGATGATGACAGCCATGACAAGCATCATCACGATAAAGATCATGGAAATCATCACCATGATGATGATGATGACCATTATCATCAGGGACATCATGAAGACCACCATCACCACAGTGAGAAAGAGACGCACCATCATGGAGACCATCAGCATCAAGAAGACAATGATGATGATGATGAAGATGAAGATGATAATGAACGCCATCATCAAAGCCATGATGATGATGACGACGACGACGATGATGATGATGATGATAAAGATGATGATGACAGTCAGTCACATCATGACCATCATGGCCACCACCAACACCATAAAGATGATGACAGTGATGACAATAATGATAATGAACACCAACACCACCATCATAGACATCATGGAGATCATGAAGATGATGATGATGATGATGATGATGATGATGATGATGATGATGTTCGTCATCATCAACACCATCACCAAAAGCATGCTGACGATGACGATAAGCATCACCATCACCAAGAAGAAGAAGAAGAAGAAGAAGAAGAAGAAGAAGAAGAAGAAGAAGAAGAAAGCAATGATAGTAGTGAAGATGAGGATGATGAAGATACAGTTCACAAATCGCATCACCAAAGTAGCCATCATCACCATCAGAAATATGATGATAAAGAAGAAGAGTCTGATGAAGTACCTTCTATGGAGGAGGATGAGCATAAGCATGACCGACATAGAGAAAAGCATCACAAACATGAGACCCATGAAAAAGCCAAAAAGCACCATAGAGAGGAAGAAGGTGAGAAATGTGTGAATATTGTGGGGAGGTATATGATTAATGGGGGAAATCTTGTCCAACCTTCTCTCAAGCCATCATAGAAAAAGAAATTTGATATCTACATCTGGAAAACAGCTGGTAAGGGGGAAATGTGTTGGGAAAAGCAGATATAATGAGAAAAGCCAGCAATACATACTTCTGTTGCAATCTTAGCCTCCTTTCTCAGAGAACCTGAATATTTTGTTCCAATCAATCCAATCTCCAAAACCCTATTTCAGCTTTTCCCCACTTGTCAACCCAAGTGTATAGGACTACAGCACCCATAACAATTACAGAATAACAAAGTTGGAAGAGACCTTGGAGGTCTTCTAATCCAACCCACTGCTTAAGCAGGATGTCCTATACCATTCCAGACAAGTGGCTGTCTAGTGTCTTTTTAAAAGCCTCCAGTGATGGAACACCCCAATTTCAGAAGGCAACTCATTTCACTTGTTAACTGTTCTCACTGTTAGGAAATTTCTCCTTAATTCCAAGTTGCTTCTCTCCTTGATTAAGTTTTCATGCATTGTTTCTTATCTTGCCTTCTGGTGCTTTGAAAGACAAGTTGACCCCCCTCTTCTTTGTGGCCGCCCCTCAAATATTGGAGCACTGCTATCATATTTATAATTGCTATAATTGTAGCAATTGTAGACATGCTATAATTTAATTATACTTGAATTGAGTTATAGCATGGAATTATAGCACTGCTATAATTCAAAGGTCACACGATCTGTAAATAATATAAATTAGATCTACTACAGTACTCTGGTAAGGTGAGGTAAATAACCTAATGCTTTTGTTCTTGGCTTCCAGCCTCTTTTCAGATCAAATGAAGTTTATACTTTCTTTAGAAAACTCAAAAATCCAACCATCTCCTGTTCAGTCCCTACTCTGTGGGTCCCATTTCCTACTCTAAACTTCTAGAGTTTATGCTCTCTAGAACTAGCCAACCAAAAAAATAAATAAATCAGAGAACAACCATAATGGAGCTGTCTCTGTGTCTCTTTTTATTTGAAGATGAGGATGAGGATGAAGAGGAAGAAGAAGAGAGTGAAGATAATGAGTATGAAGCAGGTTCTGTTTGCCACTACTGTTCCTTCTGCAAGGTAACGCAGGAAAACCTTTGCATGTGATTTTGATAGTTTATTATTCCTAGTTAGGAACCTACTGTAGGTTGCTGACTTGTATTGTCTCCACTAATATAGCCCATGGTGAGAGCTGGTAAAAGTTCTCATTCAGCAAATTCTGAAGGATCACTGGTTCTTTATTCTTATTCTAATCCCAAAGTGGTATGGCTTTTCATTCACATTAAACTAATTTGGGAACATTACATAACAAACACTTCACAAGGATGCCTCTTGTGCCTCTATCTTTCCACCAATGCACTGGGGACTGCACTGGGGCATGGATTCTTCTCCCCCCCTCTTTCTCTCCTTATTTCTGGTTAGGTCTTTGCTGAAAATCTACTTCATTTGCTTCTTATCAACAAAAAAGGTCTACTCCTCATCTAAACATTCTGGTTCAGAGATAGTAATTTGGCAGGCAGAGATCAAGTCACACAGGAATGTGGCAAGTGTAACTTGCCCTTCCCTTGCCATATGCACTCTGTTTCTGCTTATATAGTACGCATATATGAAGTAGATGAGCTCAGAATCTTCTCTGAAAAAACAATAAAATAGTCTTATACCCGCATATACACAACATTTTCTGTTAATTCATCCGGCACAGATTTACTGTCCACATTTCCTAAGATTGTTAAACTGTTGCAACCCCAGCAAATTAGCTTGTTTCTCCCCCCTCCCTCTCTTAGCTTCAGATTTATTCTAGAAAGCTACTGAAAATCTTTGGTATATATTGATGCTATTTAAAAGGGTATTAAATAGCATCATCAGGAAAAGAACAGTAAAGAAACTTGAAAAATCCTTCAGTTCAAGATTGTTTTATTCAAATTATGTATTAATTTTTCACTTACATTATTTACTAACAGATTACATGTGAGTATATGTGTGTATATGTGTATGAATATAAATATATTGATTAGGGAAAGAGATGGTAGATGATAGATACAGTAGAGAGAGAGAGAGCAAAAGAGCAAGAGAGACAGAAACTTTGGGCTATATATCAGGCTGGATTTGATGAAGAAAAGATTATTCAGCATGCATATGGCTGAACATGTCAGCACCTCTTTAAATCAGATGTGAGACCAAAAAAAAAAATGCAGCTTCCTTAAGGCATTGCCAATGGGTGCAACTTGATCATTGCAGACCCTTAATATGTACCTGCAATTTGGATAGATCTGTTGGATATGGCTTTTAAAGATATTTCTTTTTTTTAGTATACATATGTGCTAAAGCACTAGCATATCTAAATTTAGAGTATTTATTTGTATGTGTGTATATACACATGTACAAATATACAATATTATAATAGTGAACTGCTGGTCCCAAGCCCTACTCCTCAACAAATGCTTATACGATTGAAGTTCAAACATTACAGCAGTAAGTGCCTATTCTGAAACCTAATTTTTTCCAGTATTATAGTTATGTTATTGATTTCCTATGCTTTGATTTTGTGTTATTTACTGTAAGCTGCTCAGAGTCTTGGCAAATGAAGCAATACATAAGCTGAAATAATTAATACATCAATACTGCTGCCCTCTTATGCAGCAGTCTCTGCAGCCTGCCACAAAGAAGAGGCGGTCAACCTATTTCCCAAAGCACCAGAAGGCAAGATAAGAAGCAATGGATGGAAATTGAAAAAAAACAAAAAAATGCAACCTAGAACTAAGGAGAAATTTCCTGACATTAAGAGCAATCAACCAGTGGAACAGCTTGCCTTCAGAATTTATGGGTGCTCCAGCACTGGAGGCTTTTAAGAAGAGACTGGACAGCCATTTGTCTAAAATGGTGTAGGTCACCTTCTTGAGCACAGGGTTGGATTAGAAAACCTCCAAGGTCACTTTGAACTCTGTTATTCTGTTATTTTGAACATTGCTCCACCCATTTTCTTTTCAATTCGTCTTTCAGGATGAAGGGATGAAGGTTATCTATAATCCTCGCTGGGTTTGGGGTGATCTTTGCAAACATTTCAACATTTCATTTTCCCCCAGCTAAGCATCCTACTACCTCTTTTCTTCCTCCCCTTTCTTTTTTTCAGCATTGTGGGGAGTGTGACAAGTGCCCTTGTAAAGATGGGGACAGCAGTGACTACTGTATGAGCTGCCAGGTTGGTATTTCAGTTTCTCTGCCTCCATCATCTCTTCTCTTTCTTCTCCTGCAAGTCTGGCTTCATGAATGTTCAGTAATCTTATCACACTTGTGTTCTTTTCTTCACACAGTATTGTCATTACTGCTACATTTGTCCTGTGTGCGAGACAGCCTGTGCACCAGGTGAGTAGTAGGTTATTTTTTTGTTTGTTTAGTGGACAGGATGTCAAGTCCAGTCAGGGTGTAAAGTAAACCTGAGTTCAAATCTTGACTGGTTCAGTTGAGTTGCCATCTCTCAAGTCATTGAGAAGAAACAGGGACCCTTCCTACCTCAGACATCTCCATAATTGAATTCACATACTGTATCACACTAAGCCATACATTTTATTTAGCTTAGTATCTTGCATGATTGCAGCCATTGCAGTTTCTGAATGATGGCTAACAATTGTCTGTTATGCAATTGTAGTTTATTCAATGAACTATAATAAGGTTTGGTGTGATGTATGAACCCAGCCTATATATGCTTTTTGGAGACAAGATGATGCAAATTAAGTATCAATCTTCTTATTTTCCTGAATTTGTTGTAGAAACATGAACCTCTGATTCTATTTTGTTCTATTCTGTTCTATTTTATGCAGGAAGCATCGTAGATGAATTATCTGGAGCCTTATTTCAGTAAGTGAAAACTTCCTCCTTCCATAGTAGCACAAAGTCCTTTTTTTCCCTTCAGATCTGATTTTGCAGCCTCAGTTTTAATTGATTTTAAACAACCTTTCCATTTAGAACTTTGGTCAACCTTGAAGTATGATAACTAATGTTCCTATACCTGAGTGTTGCTCTGATGATTTCTAGGAGGAGGAACAGGATGTAAATTTAAGCAGTCATTGCTACATTATAATAAAATCATGTAAAATTATAGTAATAACAATGCAGTGGGAAATTACCACCATCAAGAACAAAATAATCTTCTTTCCTTTTGCAGGACAATCACTACCATATTTGAGCAGCAGGAACACTGAAGCGCCCTCTGCTGGATAAACCAAAATTAGGGGAGATGATGACACCTTGACTTTTAGAGCCAAACTGTAAACAAGGGCAAATATATGGCTGTTGTTTTCAGCAATGTTTTTCTCTTCCTCATCTTTGCAAAAAGCTTCCTAAGATTGGGGAGGGGAGACAAAAAGGGTTTTTCTATCTTTCTTCAGATTAAAATAATAATAATAATAATACATTTCCTACTGGGATGAAGACTCATAGAACTATTGTCTTGTTGAGCAATTCGGTTTTTATTTGGGTAGGGAGATTGTCCTATGCAAGCCAGGGCATGTTAAGTGAGATCAAACTTTAAACAAGACATTTCACCTTGCGTTAAGGAATACGTATTGTCTATTGTATTTCCTTGGCTATTAAATGTTTGAGAACCTCATCACACTTGCAGCTTACTTCTGAGCAATAGGTCAATTACTTGTGCTGTAGTTGTTTTCCCTCTCTCATGACCTCCAGATCTGTTGGAGTACAACTTCAATGTCAGCTACAAGAGGAATCAAACTGCCACCTCTGGAAAGTACCAAATAGAGGAAGTCAGTCTTAGTGAATGAGCCAGAATAGGAGATGATTCATGCTAGTGTGAATTTGCATCAATATTTGTTTCTGAATTGTGATTAGGTTCAGTGAAAAATATCCTGTCCGACACTCTAATGAAAGTTGGATCTATTTGAATTAAATCACGTTCAATTTTACAATATTTACTTAGCCTATCATTCTGCCCATAAGATCCTCAGTATCTGATCTGTGATAATTCTTTTGGGATAGGAACACTAGAAGTAGCCTTCATCAAAAATTATAGAACTACCTAAGCCAGCTTTCTACTCTGCACAACCATTTTAATATTTTATTTATTATTTACCGGTATTTTACAAGTTTGTTTGCTACTTAATAGCAATGATTCTAAGTAGCTTGCCTAAAACCCCATCCTAGTAATATCTCCTTTCCCAACTCTTTCTGGTCTATCAGTTCTTTGGAAAACTACTATTTTCATGGCTTATTCATAGAATAACAAAAGGCAAAACTGACAACATAAAACTGTATTGGTATCGTATGATTTCTGTCCTTTGCCCAAGAAACTCAGAACATTTGTAGATTTTATGAAGATACCAAAGAATCTGATACAGACAACCATTTCCTCATATCCTGGGATCTTCCCAATATACTGGCACTATGACACCAGCCAGAGAATCTTTTCTGGAATGCTATCACAGCTAAACTGGTTATAGTACTTTCAGGAACTAGGTTTCTAGAGCTACCACTTTCAAGATATCAGATCCATTTCTTCTTGCATAATTGTACAAAGAAAAGACAGGAGTTGAAAAGATGTTGCTATTTAAGTCACCATTAACATTCTGTGCTTCAGACAAAGTCATGCAGAATAAAAATGCTGACCCAGAAGTAACTTTTCTTTTTTCGTAGGCTCATCCATAGGCTATATACCCTATTCTACCCCCACCCAAAAAAATTAAAGTATTTTATGAATTCTTCTTAATCAGGTGCTAAGAACTGAGTCATTTTACAACCCCCATTATATTCCATTCTCAGCCATTTTTGCTTATATATTAGCTAGCATCCCTCACTTGACAAATGTTACAAATGATCTGTCGTATTATCTTTCTTCTTCCTGCATCATACCATTTTTCTGCATCTGAGGTCTGGCCATTGCACTGAATCTCAGGAAGCCAAAATTGGATACATTAAACTAAATAGGGAACTCCAGCTGAAGACTGGATCTCATAGACTCAGAGTGAGGATAAATTGCAAACAAGTTGGCTGAGGGTAATTAATGGTTTGTCTCATTTGTTCAGATGTAGATTTTTGAACAAGATCAAAACACAAGAAAGAAAGAATTTGGTCAGGAGTTGTTGATAGAACCTACTGCTTCAAGAAGTAAACAGTGTGAATAGAATCTGAAAACAAATGTGCTAGATAGACTCAAAGCTCAAATCTGAACTTCCTTGTGACCTCAGATTTTGAGACTCACCTGCTTTGGTTCAAATAAAAGTAATCTTCTCTCTCCACTCCAATGATGGATGCTCTTCTCCAGACTTTTAAAACTTAATTTATAGCCTTCACTTTGTCTAGTTTTCATGAACAATAAACTTTAAAACTTGCTTCTAAACTTGCTGCGTGTTTTCTCCATAGCCTTCACTTTGATGAAGTGGCCTTAAGGAAATTGGTCATCCTAGGAGGTTAAGGAATTGGGAAAGGGCATATATTTTTTCCTCATTAAATGAAGGAAACCTTTGGGATGCCATGAAGAATAGGACAATGTCTTATTTCTGTGCCTTTTGTCCTTGATTAGTTCTTCTTTGGATCCTCTGTATTGCATAAGGAAAAGAAAGCCACTCTTTATCCTTTAAAATTCTGTTAAGAGTGGCACCTTTTTAGTGAGTGTTGACCACTAAATGTGTTTTAAAATAAATCTGCTTCCAATGTGGGTTTCTGAAGTTAGTACACTAAATTGACACTGGATGAGGACTTTTACAGCTAGGCGGATCCTTACAACCATTGGATGGCAGTAAAAAGATACTGCACTCTCTTCATTTTGCAGCCTATATCTGATATATCTACAATAGATCATTCTGCGGATGGTACCAAGTTATCAGAATACACAATCTGGGCACTAATGCAGACCTATGATCTGATGAGACCAGATGTGGAGATGCTAATAGGAAAGCTAACACAAGGCTCATCCTTATTATGAAAGGAGCAATGTATTTATAGAAAGAGAGTTGTAGAGACCATGAGGGGAGTTGATTATGGGGAGGAAGGGGCTTAAACATATTGGTGTCCAGTGATAATAGAACCAAGTCTGTGTTTTCTTGGACATCTCTTCCCCCCCCCTCCAATATAAGAGGAAAGTAGCTGTCATTGAAGAGGTGAAGAAAGCAGTGGGTTGAGTCTTGGACATCAAGAGAGTCTGGCAAAACCCAAAGCCTTTGGATGAAAGGCTTTTGACTTCTATGTATCCTGTTTTCAAAGAATTCAATGAACACACAAAGTATTAACCAGATGCCAGGAGGAAAAAAATAAAAACCCAAACCTGGTCGTCTTATTGCTCCAATTATGTTAGTTTGGAGAGGTAGATTATTAACTAGGGGATTTCTAGATGGATGGCTCCCCCACAAGAAATCCAATGGTCTTGTGGAACCATGCATCCTGGTAAAAAGGAAAAAATAAAACTATGGGAGTTTTAGAAATAGAGGAATACTCATCTGAACAACATATGAAATTCATTAGCATTAGGTGATTGCTTCAGAAAAAGTAAAGGTGATTGCTTAAGAATTGCTTAGTCTGGAAAGACTCTAAATTCCACATTCTGGGTGCTTCTGTGCTTACTTACCCACTGTTCAATGGATTTCAATTTTAATAGACTTTGGATTTAACAGACAAGGCCTTCTGAATGGGAGATGTGGCACTGAGGCACCAGCTGAGGCAGGGAAGGAAAGGTCCTAGGAAAATTAGGTGAGCAGATAGAATGCATTGAGACATTAGTGGTGGAAGGTAGGAGAAGAGATGGAAAAATAAAACTATGGGAGTATTAAAAGTGGAAGAGACAATTGGAGATGGGAGCTCTTGAAATATGCCATGTGGAGAGTTGCTGACAGGAAAGAGGTGGGCAACACACACTCTTTTATTGCTACAATATTCCTGTAAGTTTGTTTGGGCTGAAATGGCAAGTAGCCCCAAGTCACCCAGTGAACTCCATTACCAAGTAGGAACCTGATCCTTGGTGCTCCCAGTCCTTTTGTATCAATATTGAGATTACATCAGAATAAGCACCATATTATCAGTAGTGTGGTGGCATGCCAGGTAGAAAGGGTAATGCTAGCAAGATAAAACAAGATTCTAAAGACCAGAACAGGATGTGGTTCTGGTGCCCTTCCCTTCAAAGGCCAAGAAATAAGGGACAAGAAGTATGTTACCAAATAAAAGTGGAAGAAAAAGACCTAAGGTTTAAATTCTGGCACTATTATGTAATACAGCCTGCATTTCTGGATCTGTGGTAGCTGCTCCACATTATTAGTTTCCTTTATCTACCATAAAAGCAATGTATGTATCCATAAGCCTTATCCTTCCCACTGCTATGTTAACTTTTAAATGCTGGTTGTATTGAAAGTAGTTTACGGTATTGCAGTGCCATAGGCAAGGCTCTGGGTGCAGGATCTGAAAACAAGCAGTGCTGGGCTGAGCAAGAGAGCATTGTAATCTCACTCCAACCTCTCGTTCTGTTAGAAGAATGGTGGGCTCTTAAAGGCTAGAATACAGTAGAAGCAAAGAATGTCAGGAACTACCTCACAGAAAGCAGACACAGATCCTTTTGTCAATTCTGTACCTTGCTCATAAAGAAAAATCTGCAGATCCTAGAAAACGTTTTCAAACTTTTTTTCTTTTTTCTTTAAAAACATTTCTTAGCTCACTCCCCTTGTAACCCTCCCTCTCTGCCTTCCCTGGAAGCAAACGGGAACGAAGGGGACCAGAAGAAGATAGCTTCTCCAGTACCTCAGCTTCCTGCTTACCCCTCACAATCTCCCTGACAGATTTGATTTCCAAGATTGAATTTTTTTTTCCTCCCCTACCCATTTTTTTCATGCAAAACTACCCCTTTGCGTTGCCCCTCACACCTACATTCTCCCTGGAAGGAACAACTGAAATAAAAATGTTTAAAAAAAGGTGAAAATATATAAACATCAAATAAAGATTATTGGCGTGCAGGGCAGAGGGGTAGCAGGACACATTATTAAATTAACAGAGAACCTGTAATGGCGGTCGAAAAAGAAATTCAATTTACACGAGATTCCACAGCACAGATATACACAGAAAATACAACTCTTATATTACAATAGTCTTGGAGGAAGGGAGATCTGTGTGCCATATCAATAAAGTCCAGAGTTCTATCTCCAGTGACCGTCACAGGCTGAGGTCTACTCTTTCCAGTTTGAGCATCTTGGACTTGAATTCCCCACTCTCTGCTCTCATAAAAAAAAAAAACGAAGAAGAAAAAAGAAAAGAAAAAATCTGATGCTCCATCACACCAGATGGACCACCTATCTACTGGGACTGCTTCATGCCAGCACCAAGAGAGTTTGGGTGACAACTTCTAGTTCGCTTTCCTCCTCCTTCCTCCTCAGGCGTTCTCTCATCTGGAGGAACAGGGAGCTGTAAAGGCAAGGGGAAAAGAAAAGAAAGAGGGAACTCTTTTTATTTGTTGACTTGTGCCAAGAAGCAGCTGCTTCTGGACAGAAGAACCTTTATATTCAGGCATCCAAAATTTGAAGTTCTGTGTATCAGGCCTAGGGGCAACTTGCTCTTTGGGGTGGGTGTGAACAGAGGGAGGTACACTGGCTTTGTTCCTCCTGGCTTCAATGCTCTCCCCTTGCTGAGAAGAGGGATGGGAAAGAGCTGGGGTGGGGGAGGGAAGAACTGGCCTTTGAATAACCACCTCTTCTTTGTCATCAGGAGGTGAAACGGGACCCCTTCATAGCAGCAATGCAAAGAAAAGGAAAGGAAAAGTGCTGGCGGAACATTTAGCACCTATGGCAGGGCAGGGAAGGGGAACTGGCCAAGATGGGCTGCTTGGTCCAATATGTGGCAATGGCAACAGGAAATAGAGGCATCCCCTCACTTCTCCTCCCCCTGCTCCACCAGAAAGATCTGGTGGCACAGCAGCGGGATAGGATACGTGGGCAACCACATTTTCTCATTCACATTCTTAGGTCCCTGCCCGGAACAAACAACAACAATAAATAGAGGCCAAGGTGGAAGGCTGTTTCCCTCTGCCGCTCTGGGGAAGGAACCCCTCCTTGGCTTCAGTCCCTTAAGTTCATCATTGACCATCGGCCACTGCTGCTACTAGGAAGAGGGCAGTGGGGAGGAACATGGTTGGTTGGTTGGTTAGTTGATTTGTTGGTCTGTCCAGCATCTCCCACAAGCATCCATATTTTTTCTTGGCAACAGTGGCAGCAGCGGCGATGGTGCTAGCAGCAGCAGCAGCAGCAGCAGCAGCTCTTCATACCCTCATGTGAGCACATGATGGAGAAGGAGAGGCAGCAGCGGCGGCAGCAGCAGCAGAAGGTCTTCCTGCCCAAGGCAGGGAGGTCAGACATAACTGGGACAGCAGCTTGCAAGAAAAAGAGAAAGAAGAGTAAGAAAAAAATGCATTTCAGGCCACTTTAACAGTTCTGAAAAGATGTTTGTTTCATTTTTAATCCTAATTTCCCCCAGACATGTGACTCCATACCAGTGTTTCTCAACCTCAACAATTTTAAGCTGTGTGATCTTCAACTCCTAGAATTCCCAAGCCAGAATGTTAGGGAAGGAGACTAAAGCCCTACTAAGCCGAAAGCCCTACTAAGCAGGTATATACAAAAGTATGAAGGCTATTGCTAAATGCATTGTAAGTTGCCCTGAGTCTCCGGAAAAGGGCGGCATATAAATCAAATCAATCAATCAATCAATCAATCAATCAATCAATCAATGTAAACCAAAAATAATCCTGGGACGTCCTGAGTTATGGTTGCATCGGCATTACTCAGTGCCAAACTTATATTAGTCCTGTTTCTATATTAGATTTTAGTTGGGAAAACAAAAGCAAAAAATAAAAATAAACCCTACCCCATCCTTTGATTCATTTTTCAGAAAACTTCCTTCTCCTTTTATTTTCCTATTTATACTAGGGCATAACATAACTAGCTGAGTTGCATTGTTACATTAATTCAGACGGGATGCTTAGCCTGGCTACTAAATTAATTCATTTTCTGGGTTTTCACCCAGAACCATCAACTAACCAACTGTGTTGGATTCATAGAACGGTGTAAGCCATGGAGAAACGCACTAACCAATGTTAGCAAGCTGTGCAATTGTAGCTATGAGCTATTTAACTGATTTGGTTAACCTATTGTGTGAACGTAGATGGTGAGTTACATGCTCATATCCTGTATGTGAATGTTGCTTTCAAAAAAAGAAAATCATTTGGACAACACCATTATGGGAACCAATCAAAATGCTCTGAAAAAGTTTGTAAATTTTCACTTCCTTAAGCAAAAAGTTACAAAAATATAGGATGGGGAAAAACCCAAAGGTCCAAAAACCTAACCAGTTTTTTTTCCAGCTTTGAGGCGTACAGTTAGCAGCCATGCTCAGGGTAGAGGCTGTCAGCTATATGCAACTGATAGTGAGAGGTATTACTGACATTAAAGTACCCCTATCCTTAAGGGATAAAATATAATGGTTGCTACCTGCAACTGTGAAAACAGAAGCAGTAAGTGCCTATTCTGCCTGTTACCATAGGTGAAATTCATGGGCAACCTTAGCAATTTTTGTCAAAAAAGCCAAAAAATATTTTGGGATTGTTTGCTCTATGATAAAAAAACTGTTCATTTTTAATCTGCAGCTTTTATCATCTAGAATTGTATGCTTGTTTGTTATCATCATTATAATTGGTGTTGAGAGACAGATAAATAGATTTGTTTAGAGAAAAAAAATCTACATTTATTGATGATTGGAGGCTACTTATGGACTTTTTCCGCATAAAAATAAAAATCTGTGATTCGTGGTTTTGATGATTAGACAAAATATATTATAGAAAGAAGAGTAATATGATGTAATTCAGAGAGGTTAAAATATATTTGTACTTATAAATGTTGTGAAGAATATCAGAAGAAACATTGTTATATTATTTTTCTTTCTTTTCTATTTTTCAATTTTTTTCTTTGTACTTTTTGCTTCTTTAATGTCTTTCTTTTTTCCTTATTTTACATTAGTTTGTGTTAGTTTTATCTTCTTGTTTAAAAGTTTTAATGAAGATTATATACAACAAATAGTGGTGAGAGACAATGCAATCTACTCTTCTCAATAGCAACAATGACTTTCAATGCCAAGATTCAAAATCAACAATCCCAAATTGCTACCCAGCAGCTGGAGCTGAACCATCCCATAATTCACAACTACCATACAAAATTGAGTATACTACCATTCTCTTACTCATGACTGGCAGAGGCTGGAATGTGGCAATGAGAACCTGAAAACTGGGAAGCAAATAACTTACAAAATTATTAGAAAACTAAATGAAAAAAATTAGATTATTTCTATTTGTTGATTCCTCACTGAAAAGGTCTCTGCTACCCAACAGCAATAGTATCAGCACAGGGCAGCACCTAATTAACTTTGGTAGAGCTTTAAAAAACTAGGAAGAGTCAGACCTGATTAATCAATGGATGGCAGGACTTCCGGTTTATGTCACGGCGGGGCCGACTGGAAAATAGTGAAGCTGTGCCGAGCTCCGTGAAATGCAGCCGGCAACTTCTTGCCGGGAGACCTTACGGGGTTAAGCTGCCCTGGAGGGGTGGTGAAAAAAGGCGAGGTGCTTTGTTGATCACAAGGAAACTGCAATTTCCTCACTGATCCAAAGAAAGCTCTCCCGAATGGCAGCAGGGATGGCCATTTTGGTCTGTCATCAGCTGGGACAACTGGGACACTAAGATCTTGTGGTGGAGTGGTGCATGGACAGAGCACTGAAACTGGGTAAGATAACTTCCAACTTTTACCCCAAAGTACTTTTACCAGTACACTCCCACAGAGAGGGACTCCTCAGGGTGCCGTCGGCCAGGCAATGTTGGCTGGCAACTCCCAGGGGGAGGGCCTTCTCTGTGGCAGCTCCCGCCCTCTGGAACGATTTGCCCCCAGAGATAAGAAGGATATCGGATCTCCGGGTCTTTCGCCGTGCCCTGAAAACTCTTCTTTTCCAGCAAGCAGGGCTGGCGTGAACCCTGCCCCCTTTTTTAGTTTTTAATTGTTATTAATTGTTTAGTTTCAATCTGTTAATGGGTTTTAATTCGCACTGTTTTAATTCGGGCCAAAGTATATAATTCTTTTAATTAATTTTAAATTTTGTATTGTTATGTATTTTAGTTCTGGCTGTGCACCGCCCTGAGTCCACTAGGAGAAGGGCGGTATATAAATTGAATAAATAAATAAATAAATAAATAAATAAATAAATAAATAAATAAATAAAAAATAAATAAAAAATAAATAAATAAATAAATAAATAAATAAAGATTTAACCAAAGTTAAAAGTTATAAAAAATAACCTCCAAATAATTAGAAAGTGGCGATTGGATTTATGGAGAAGGATTAAAGACTAAAAATCAAAGAGAAAGACTAAAGATGAAATATTCAGACTCAAAGAAATATTTAAGGGATGTTTTAAACCATAGAAAGCCTGGAAAAAGTCAAATAATGTTGTGAAAAGTGATTATTGGGAGAAATTGCTTTTCTAAACTTTATCTTTAACCCCCCCCCCTCCCTGAATGGGTGACAGTCAGCTGTTTTGAATGCTGGAATTTGGAGCAGGGGAGCCATCTACTGGAGGAAGAAGATTACTGCAATGTAGGAAATTTGAATGAAAGTGATGAAAGGAGAGAAAGTAAACAACACCTGGAAGATTATGTGACCTTGATTTTATGTCCCAAAAATAATGAAAGGATTATGGATGGTTATCCAAATGATGCAGCAGAAGATAAGGGGTAAGGCAGAGGAAACATTCAATCCATGTAAAAATGTTAGAAATAAATATAGGATCCCAAAAGAGAAATATAAAAGAATCACCAAAATGTCAATAAATGATGAAATTCAAAAAAGTATATGGAACAACCCCAACAAGTGGGGGGAAAAATAAGTACAAATTGGGAAAGTAGTATTATACATATTGATACATAAAATAATATATTAAAATTATAATGAGCATATTAAGGTTAGAAGTTGGAAGATAAAAACTATGTATATGTAATTGTATTATTACTGTTAGCACTGTGTAAAAAATGTATTGACCCAGTCATTATGCTGTCCACAAAATATGTTGGCTGTTAAAGGAAAACTGCAAATAAAACATTAATAATAATAATAATAATAATAATAATAATAATAATAATAATGATGATGTGCCAGGAAATCAGGAAATCCTAAAGATATAGATTAGATCAGATTAAAAATCCCAGAACACAGCAACAACAAACATAATCATATTGATGTCAAGAAAGCAACACAGATATGTTCATGTAGTCATCAAAAGTGGGATAGATCCAATGGATTATTGTCTAACTTAAATGTGGATTGTTCCCAGTATAAACGAACAAGTTTTTCTTCATTTTGAGGGTGTGTCCTTTATTTGAAAAAACTGACTCATAACAGAATCTTAATAACAATGATATATGTCAATTATTGGGTTCTGGTTATTGCATTTTCTTACTGACAAACATTCTACCAAAACCTTTTTGGCCAGATGACTTCTAGGTTGTTTTATCTATATATTGTTCACTGTTTTGTTTTTAAATAAAAAAGAAAGATCAGAATTCAAACTACGCTAATCCATCCTTTGAACATAATCATATCATCTGGATGTATTTTGCATTGTATGTTTGTAGAGTGTCCTATGTCCTATTAAGCAGTAGCCTACCTCCTCCGTCTTGGCATTAACAGGAATACGTTCTCACTGACATACTGTCTGTCCGTTGGCTACCTAATGAGTTCCCTGAGGAGAAAAAAAAAGGAGAGGAAGGCATTCATAAATATATCCACTACAGCTTTAAAAAATACTTCTTGACCAAAGGTGAGCTGAACTTTTAATGTCTTAGCCCATATGTGGGCCAAAGAACAGTCTACATGTTTTTTCTTCCTAACCCATAGATAACATGCACCCTCACATCTTGTGGTCCTCAGCCTGGACATTATTGTTGACAAGTCTCATCCTTTCTCATTGTTCTGTATTAAGATAGACACAAATATTGAAATATAAGGACTAACGCTGCTTTTTAAACATTGGCTCCTCTCTGTAAACATAAAAGAAAAAAGCAGCTCCACTCATTTGGTGTCATTGTTCCAGCAAATGGGATTGGTAGGCTCTCCAGGAAGATGACTGTATGACTGTAATTTTGTTGCTTGTATCATTTGTCCCCTACAACTATCATTAATTGTTATACCTTATGATTCTTGATGAACGTATCTTTTCTTTTATGTACACTGAGAGCATATGCACCAAAACAAATTCCTTGTGTGTCCAATCACACTTGGCCAATAAAAAATTCTACTCTATTCTAGTCTATAAACTGCTTCTTTCAACAACTAAAAGGTTTATCCTAACTGTTTTATGCTACAAGAGTCCCACAATGGTTCTTGTCAAAGACAGTGGTCTTGACAGTATAATGCAGTACAGATAACAAATGCCTTTTTCACAAGTATATACAACAAAATTGAAGAATCTGCAGACTTTTGTTAATGAGAATTCCCAGCATCTGTTACCAATTGCTACACTAAAGAAGACTGTTGTGTGTAGTAGTACATAGAATCACAAATTCCCATCCCCCAGATTAATTTGTATGATAATGAGAAAGAAATATGTGTAGCTGAACTTTTTTTCCTGATCACAATGAGAATTCTTTGTGCATAGTAATTGAAGGATACATCAACTCCCACAATAGAGGAATGGATGGAAAATGTGATAGAGCTAGCAGAGGTGACAAAATTGAGTGTTTTAATAAGAGAAAAGAATATATTCAGTTTTGTTTCTACCAGGAAACTGGTTCTGGACTTAGTGGTTGAGATAGAAAAAAAATAAAATCTTCACTTTGGGTTTTGCTGATTAAACTGTTGTTATAGAAAAAGCTTTCTTACCAAGTTATTAAATTAAAAATTTGAGGCTATTCTTTTCCTTATCTTCTCATTCTCCATTTTCCTATTACTTTTATTTTCATCCGTATTTTATAATCTCAATTAAAAAGGAATAAGTTCCAGAAAAAGAGAACACTCTATTCCTTATTAGCTTAGGGATAGAGAGTGAGGGAAAAAAATAACATACTTTCCTGACAGCAGGAAGCTTCTAATTTTATGTTTTATTCTTTTATTTTTTTTATAAGCAGCTTCACCAGATGGCAGCACTTAACTGTCATTGTCTGGATTTGAAAGCTAAGCAGGGCCAGGCCAGTTCAATATTTGGAGGAATGACTTTCAGAGAATCCCAGAGCTGTAAACTAGATTGAAAAATCGAAAAAAAAATTCCTGGGAGAAAAAGCAAACAAACTATTTCTATATAATTATTAGGAAAATCATATAAATTTGTCCACTAAGCTTGACATTAAAGAGACTTTATGCTTGTATTGGATAAGTTGCCTAAAGAATATTTTGATAAATAAATGGAAGTTAAAGAAATATGATTCCCCCACCCAACCCCCCATTGTGTGCTCCGGTTCAGAACATAGGCCTAAATAGCCTAAGAGTTGTGCCTATATACCCTCTGGCTGCATCTTACGAAGCTGCACCCCGGGTGAGGTAATGGAGGCCACGGAGGCTGTGCGGAAATTGGCCGGCAACATCTCGGCTGAGTCAGGGCTAACACCACGGAGGTCTTTCTCCCGGAACATCTTCCGCCAAGATGGGGAACGACTGAAGGTCTTGGCACTATCCTAGAGACAAAAGTGCAACAAATATGGGTGAACAGCAAAGCGTGAGGATGTCTCTCAAGGTTAGAGACTCTGGTGAAAGGAGAACTTACCTCATCCAGTCGCCGGTCTGTTCCCATGGTGATGAGGTTCCCAAATTCTTTTTCTAAAATCTGCCGAGCCTAGGAGTTTTTTTAAAAAGTAGATTATTTTAATCTTCCTTTCCATTCCTTTGTTGTTTTGTAAAGCGCAGTGTTTCCTTCGGTCCTCCACTTTTTCCTTTCTCCAAAAATATTAAGGAATTGAGAAAAAAGGCCTTGGGGTGCAATTGCTAGGACAGTGTGGTGCAACTTAGGAATATGCATTGGTAACATAGTGACCATGGTTTCCAGGCAATTCCAATTAAATAAAAATCAAAGCAATTGAATAATGAACAAAAATTGGAAATGTGTACATGCTCCCCCCAACTGACCAATCACAAACATCTCATAAGATGTCAATCAAGAATTCAGAAAGGAAAATTTAGGGGACTTTGAGTTTATGACTGAGGTCAAAGAGGCCTACTTCTCATACTAAAAGCATTAAAACCTAGAAGATTATTGCTACACTGAAAAAAGGCTCTAGATTCCCTTCTTCTTCTCATGGAAGCATTATCACAGCTCATGATTGCTTGATTCTCTTCCCTCCCTCCGCTATCCAGCTTCCCTATGCTTACTCCTGACCTGTGTGTTTTGGGTTGGGATCTGCAGCAGCAGGGCCAAGTCATTGCAATCAAAGGTGTCGTCCAGGGCCAGGAGGGCTCCGTGCACCCCGCTTTCAACTAAGTTGTTGGCAAACTCTTTCAGCCCAATCATTTGCACCCAGCACATCACACGCTCGTTGGACCACACCATCACATCTAGAAAGGGATGGGGAGGGGAAGGGAAAAGACAAGCTTAGCACCAAATTCAATCCTATGATCCACCAACTCTAGTAATTTCATTATTTACTTTCCCCAATTCAGATTTATAGATGCTGCTCAATGGCAACCTTTGCTCTTATCTTTTCTCATTTATATCTACCTTTGTTTTGGTTCTGACTCTCCTCTCGTCTTCTTTCCAGTTCCTTTCGGTCATAGTTAAGACGTTTCAGGCACATGATTCCATAATGAAGGCTCACCCTTGGAAGATATATCATAAATTACACCAGAGAAATGGTAAATGGCTCACTCTGGATCATCTACTAAGTTCGCAAGGGCTGGTGGAGTTGCAGCAGTAGTAGTAATTAATGCTGGGTAGCTTGATCATGGAGTTGGAGTTCCCATTCAATTTCCTAAAAAGAGGCATCGACTTGTTGGGGGAAGGGAGTCAAATGATGAAACGTGTGTTGCAACATTGCGACGCAAACTCTACCCCTTCTGTACATGCACTGTGATATTGCACACATGTATATAAGAGGTGGAGCTTGCATTGCAATGCCACTCTGCACATTTTGACGAAAACTCCACATTCAGCAGACACTTCTTTGAGCACTGGGTAGAAATCGAAATGCTTTCCCTCAGTTCCAGCATTGATTGAAAGTGTAGTAGGGCAGGACTTTGGGACAAAATCCAGGCCTCCACTGAACAGAAAGACCACAAAATAGAGCAAGTTGACATACCGTATTCTGAAGCAATCAATTTTATATATATTTATATATAATATATATATATATATTTCTATCTAAAGAGTGTTCCTGGCAAGATCTTTATATCCATTGTCAACTATACATTTCTACTGCACCATTGAGAATGATGTTGCTAAAAAAAAAAAAAAAACAGGATTGCAGCAGATGCCCAACAGTATGATGATAATGATGATGGATCCAGGTTAAGTAACGGAGGGAGTCCTGGTAAATTTTCAGTTCCCATGTTGTTCATACCGAGCTTTTCCTTGAAGATTTCAGTTCTAAGTATTCCGTTTTATGGCTAAGAAGAGCAGGTGATATTCAAGGCAACTTCTCCCAGCCTTAATATCCACATGAAACTGCAATTCCAGAATCTTTTGTAAGTGGACGAACATTAATAAATGTTATATTTGGTTGAAATTACAGACTTTGCACACACATATATGGATGCATGACTCACAAACACAGTGCTGTAAGTTATGTCAGTAACATGAATCTATTCCTTCACATGGAAGGCCCAAGCCATTTGCTCTTCTCACCTATGGAAGCTGTCCACCATCTTGAGCTGGCCCCGTAGTTCCTTCTTGTTGAGGTGGTCCAACATCCGGGCATCAACTAGAGACTCCATGAAGTAACTGCGGTACTGAGGCAAGCCCAGGCTGGGCAGCCAATCATTTCCCACCCACTCATGGTTCATATCTCCATATGCCAGGATCTGAAAAAGCAGAAAAGGGACACTCTGAAGGACTATGTTTGTATAATAAACCTAATCCAATCACTGAATTAGCCTATTTTTGAGGGATTCACAAGGTATAAACCACCAAGGAACGGGCCAAAGTGTACAGGAACCAAGCTTAGTGTGCTATTTAAATGCATCTGATCTGGTAAAGCATCTTGGGTTAACAAAACATCTGAGTGATAAAATATGTGCTCTCTTTCCTTCCATATACTGAAGATCTGCACTGTAGTTCTTTCCATTTTCTTGCTCTTGCAATATTTGAGCATCTGCTATAAATCCATACCCATTAATTTGCAATATTTGCTTCAGATACTATCAGTAACTAACCTGATATTAGCCCAAATATCTTTCTGCGAACTTGTGGCAAGTCAATGTCTCATAGGACTGTTATGAGGATAAAATGGAAATGATTTTGGACTTAGTGTATATTTATGGCTCTCTTTCTTTACTGTGTGAACTTGCCTGTGTTTTCTGTCTTGCTGTAGACACTTTCACATTAAGGAAGCCTTTTCTAGATACAATACATGACAATTCTTTCTCCCTGCTATGGGAAATAAGAAAGTGTAACTGGGAAGACTGTTCCAAATTTTCTCTTATTAGAAGTAATCCATCATAGAATCTTTCCTTGATGGCATTCCAAATGCAATATACCTTCCAAAAACAGTTTTTTTCTTATTGTTTTTGTATTCCAGATGAGTTAAAATTATTCCGTTTCATCAGCATAACAATTTAGCTGTTAGCTGTTGCCTGAGAAATGCTTCTTTTAAAATATATTTGGGGAATTGGAGGATTATTTTTAAATTCAGTACCCTTTATTGTGGATACAAGAAATCCTAAAATGTTGCTGCTGTCTGCAATCCAGATGGTATTGACGCAAATGGACTGTAGATCTGACTCAGCAGCAGGCTCGGGATACTCTGCTCTATCAAATGTTGTTCAATTTTGTGCCATGTGAACCCAGTCATTGGGGCTTGGAAACTATCCTAGTTTAATACATTGAGAAAATTCAGGAATTGTTTATCCAACAAATCACAGTTAAAATTATGTTTTATTACTTTGTAAAATCCCAACAGAGAGTCACAGAACAGTAGTGTAAAAACTGTTGTGGGCTTTGCTAAACAAAGCAGAAATCTTAAATAAAAGCAGAAAAAAGCAGCTTAGTTGAGAGAACAAGTTTCCAGTCAGGATCCAGTACTGAATAATTTTCTAATTTGGGATCTGATATGAAATTCTTTTTTTATGAAGCTCTAACATTTTTTCTTAGTCTGAAATCTTACTATGGGAAGCAGCTGCCTCTAGATGGGGGTCACAAGCTATGAAGGCTGTAATAACAGAAGCATAGAGGTAGGAAACAGTGAATCCAACCTTTGCTCAGAAGATGAATACAAACTAAAAGCATCAGAAAGAGGTGTCTTGCCTTAGCCTGTGCATACTGTATATCTATCCAGGGAAGGGAAATCATCACATCCCTAAATAATTGGCTCTATTGTTGAACTGCTTTTCTCGCTAGGATCTTTTCCTTAAATTCAGACAGATCCCCTCCTTCTAATTTAAAACCACTATTCTGTATCTTTACACAAAAGAGAATAGATTTTAGCTATCTTCTATGTAGCAGTCCTTTAGCTATTTGAAGGATGTTATATTTCTCTAATTTCTCTTAGCAAGATTTAATTTCCAGTTTTTTAATTGATCTTCGCTTTACTTCTCTGAATCAGTTATAGTTTCTTCAAAACCTTCTTAAATTATAGGTATTCAAAATTTAAGGTATAACCAGTGAAGAATATTTTTTTCCAACCAGCACATGAGAGATTTCAAGACATCCTTTTCCTCTTTGCTTATTTACAGAACAAGAAAACTTCTTCTAGTTAATTTATGCAGCTGTTGTCAGACAAGATTCTTCCTCACCTAATCACAGCTGGCCATGAAAAGATACAGAAGCAGGGGATAGATAACCATAATAACCAGAAATAGGGGATAGATAACAATAATAGGACAAAAAAAAAGGGAGGGAATCTAAAAGATTCATATAATTGTTTTTCTCTTCCAACATTGCCACAATCTCTGATTACTGTAATGAAATATCAGATGCACCTGAGTAAATAAATTCTATTTAAACAAATATTTATATAGAATTTCTTTAAATAACCAATACAACAAATACACATATTAGAGCTAAAATGAGAATTCTACTGAATTTAAGTTATGAATTTCAGCACTGATTTAAGACCAATTTGTAAGAAGCATGTTTTTGATACATGTATTTTCTCTTCACTTTTATTCATTTAGCTACATATAATATTTTGATTATATTATCCATTCACTTAATGAAGTACAAGTGCTTTTAGCTTCAGCCCTGCTCTCTACCATAAAAGGAAATAAATACATAGAAACACACACAAATTAAGAGAGTCAGCATGTGAATCCCGCCCATACCTGCTCCCAGCTGATTTCCTTTGTCTCCTGTATAGTGATTAAATGGAAAGCAAGAAGGAAAGTAGAAAGGAATCATTAAGGCAATCTTCAGATGTACTTTTTTTCACAAACACACATCACAGTAGCTCAAAGCTAATGGAAATGTCTCCATTGTGGTAAGCAATTTCAGTTGGTCTTAAATAAATCTACACATGCAATAAAAAGAGAGGGGTGAGGAGCATGGATCCCATTACATTAACCAATGAACCCAACTATTGGCATGCAAAAAAAAAATGAGTGTTTTAAGAAAAAAACCTAGCATCACAGGGAGAGAATTGGGCTAAACTGTTTTTTCCTACTCTCTTCCGATAAAAAGGTCTCCTACAATGTGAACCAGTATAATCATCTCCATTGATTCATTTTGCTGCATCTGGAGATCCAGTCTCCAAACAGAAGCATTTGCAGAGTCCCCAAGGAAATTAGGATTAAAGGAGCCAATCACATGAGCTCAAGAAAAGAGTGACTACTTTACTCTGCTCTATAAATTACTTATGTTGCCATTCTTGTTTTCAGGTAATAGACCAAGCACATCACTTCAAATGGTTTCACTCAATGATAGGTTGTTTGTTTTTAAATTTGGCAACTGTGCAGATCCCACAGTCCCACTGCAGCTTTTAAGGAATTCCCATGGGGACACAGAATGATAGATTAGTTTGGTGTTTCTCAACCTCAGCAACTTTAAAATATGTGAACTTCAATTCCCAGAATTCCCCAGCCAGCATGAAGTTGAAGTTCACAGATCTTAAAGTTGCTGAGATTGAAAAACATTGGATTAGTTCAAGATAGGGCACTAGTCAGAAAAGGCTGGCCTACATTGAATTAATGCTTTTTACTAGTCCTTCCAAATATAAAAAGAAATTTGAATGCTTTCACCAAGTGTTGTCCCTAAGCATGGATTTCCTGCCAAATCAATAATAGGAAGAAAACTGTAAACTTTGATAGGAAAACTACTGACAAGATGCACACAAAGATAGTGCCATCTAATCTTCTAATCATGCATACATGTAGAATCACACAGAGGAAACTGCAATATAAGATCCTGGAAACAGCCACAACATGGAGCCCAAGAGGAAAGGCAGCTGATTTGAGGGACAGGACTCATAGCAATAACACTTACTGGCTTTGTTGTGGCTGTGAGAGATTCCATCTCTTCATGTGTCATCCACACATTTCCAGTAGACTAGCAAGAATAGTAAAGGGGGAAAAAAAGAGGAGAGGAAGGAAGCAGTTGTGAATCTTAATGTGTAGAGAAAGCAGAAAGCTGTCAGATTCCCTGCTAGTCAAGAGAAGGCCCAGCAAAGGGTAGTGCATAAAGAGCCCATCACTTACTGTACGTGAAGTAGCAGGGGCTGAAGGACTAGTCAAGGAAACCATCTCCTGAATAGCAAGACGCAACTTAAGCCGGTGCAAAGGATTACTGATGCCAATTTCTCGCTGGATTTCTGTGTCAGACAGGTTGGCCATAATGGCACCACTCTTGACGTTGGCACGGCAAGCAGCCACATACCAAGCTGGCATGCCCACCCACAGCTGCCAGAGTAAATGGGAAGAGAGGTTAAGTAAATACTTATGCAGCTCTGAAGGAAATCAATCCCTAACCCATGGGTCTCATTTAGCCCTGGTGGAATTTCCATGCAATTGTTGGTTCTTGGAAGAGCAAATGTTGCCCTTTAATCCATTGTTAACAGGTGGGATTTAATGTTCACTGCCTCTGCTGGGGTGGGAAGAAGTTCACCGCTCCGTGTTCCATGCATTCTTTAATCACAATGAGATACTACATGTAATAAAAAAGCAATCTTTTTCTCTGAAACTCGTGGTTGCTTCAAAAAGTATTTGAAAAAAACTGCAGCAGAATAAAACCTCTGCTCTATTGAAGCAACCATTAACATTTTTAGGCTCAAGTGGAAGCATGAATAGAAAATGAATAGAAAGAAGAAGGCAGAATTAAAAAAAAAACCATTCATTGAATTTCAATCCAGTCCAAATCTGTGAGAGCCTTTCTCCCCTGTTACTTTACAAACAGTGGGAAGATTCTATGCTGACACAAGGTGCAGTTTTAGATTTTTTGCAATAAAAATTGCTGATTCATGCATGATGTTAAAACAAATTCTTAAGGATTTTTGTTTTTTTTAATGGAAAGCACAACTGGTCCTATATGGCTTGTGCCAGGGGACACAGCTAAACCAATCTGAGATGCATCTTCCATTATTTATTGAACTTGTCATATAAACTAGGGGGTTCTAATAGGTTCCCCTGCTATTAAACCACAGCTAAAAGTCAAGATTTAATCTTGGCTTTGAATTCTTGGCTTATTTTAAATAATAAGATCAGGGAATCTCATTTATATATTATGCTACACAAACTACAAAATGAGCTTCTGTAATTTGCTCATGGTACAGACTTAGTGTGACTGTGATGCCAGTAACCATCTTCCCAGAACCTGACTTTTCAGCCACTGTTTACCTCCAGCCATGAGACAACAGTAGGTCCATCCCAGGCAGCAAAAGGCAACCCTTGTCGACAAGCTTCTTCCAACAGCTCATGCCTGGGCACAGGAAATACAGAAACAAAGAGGATTGAGGGGGGGGGGAAGAAATAACTTCTGAAAATCCCAAGATCGTTTTTCCTTCTGATCCTCAAATTTCCTATGCCTGTCCTGACAAAAAGACATATAACTTGAGGATTCAGAGGACAGTAAATCCCAGGATGGAATGAAGAGTCTAAAGCACTCTATCAGACCTTACTACACAGCAGTGATCTGGAGATCCCTAATGATCTCTTACACCGCTTAGATACAACTCAATGTAAGATGTGGAAACAATACACAAAATCACTAAATTTCAGCAACAGGAAAGCTTGGAGCCTATTAAGGAAACTGAGTGGAATTAGACAACCTGCACAACAAACACCCAATTGTAATGTCTGATCTAATAGCCTCTCAAGTTGTATCTCTCTCCAAAGCAGCAAAGGTGAAAGGACACTCCACTCTCATCAAGAAAGCACTTTCAGCTTTTCAGCGGTTGGGCTGAACACATTCTAAGTACTCTTGTCCCTTCTCTATAAAAGAAATTGAAACTGCCATTGATAGCAGGAGGCATACATGGAATTGGATTGATAAATTCCTCTCAGATGTAGTTTTCAAGTAGTTTGCTTGTCAGCAGAGTTGAAAAAAACTAAAATAATATCACTTCTAAAACATGACAAACCACAAGGGAGAGTTGTAAACTACCGCCCAATTGTCCTTTTGAGCTTCTGTTACAAACTCCTGGAAAGATTAAACAGGATAGTCCTATAACAGATGAACATCTGCCCGTGGACAAAGCTGGTTTCCAACAAAACCAGAGCTATGTGGATCAGGTGCTAAGTTTAAAAAGCTGTATTGTTGCGGGCCGCGAGTTTGACACCCCAGATCTAGAGAATATGGTAGCAAAAATCAAGACTAGGAACAATATACTTCAGAAATTATGCAGAACTAAATGGTGAGCTTCAGCTGCCACTCTCAGGTCATTAGCCCTAGGGCTGGTCTATTCCACAGCAGAATACTGTGCCCCTTTATGGTTTAACAGCTGCCACACTAGTAAGTTGGACGCCAGACTCAAAGACACCATGAGGATTAGAAGTGGATGTATTAAAACCTCTCTAACTTGCTGCCTTCCTGTTCTGAGCCATATAGTACTGCCAGCTTTACGAAGGCAAGAGAGAATACAGAAAAAATATGAAGAACTCACTCCTACTGGCGCATGCTGACCTTCCTCATTTATCAGCAGGAAGACTCAAATCCAGGAAGCCCCACTGGCACTTCTACAACATTTACTCAACAACTTTAACACCGATTGTCCCCAAAGGTGCTTTTTTGAGAGGCAACTGGACTTTCTGGTTTTTCTTTGAAGAACCAGAGAAGCGAAATGTCGTCAAAGAAAAACCAGAAAATCCAGCTGCCTCCCAAAAAAGCACCTTTGGGAAAACCATGACCTGGATGACCAAGAATCTCCATAGACATTTAACACTGATTCCCAACAGAAAGCCAAATGGGTTCCTGAAAGTCCGAACAAAGGAAGACATATAAATGACTCCACAAAAAAAGCTGCCAAGCTTTGAAACTACCATGCCAGCAATGGACAATCCTGAATAGGATTTGTACCTCACACGGCATCTGCCAGGACCCATTATATAAATGGAGCATAGTATCCTCTCCTCAGTGTGATTGCGGGGTCCTACGTCAAACTGTATATCACATTGTGAACAGCTATAAACTGAGAGCATATACTGGTCCTATATCTGATATTTTTCATATAAATAATGCTGTACTTCAATGGTTAAATGGCCTAGACATTGGTATTTGAATATAGATATTTTTAACATTTATATTTTATTGTGATTTATTAATCTAGATGAAATATTAATATATATTGCAGGTCCATGTATGATATCCCATATACTAAATAAATAGGTGCCTGCATGTCAACCAGTTTAACGTTCAATATTATAATTCTACATGTAGTTATTCCCATTTAGCAAGTGTGGGGCTGCTCAAAGTGCAGTACTGCTTACTCTGGGTACCACCCAGTGACTTCACAAGCCAAGCTAGTTTTGGAGTCTTGCAGGTGAAAATCTATGGAATCTCTATCAGCCCTCTTCATCCCCGTTCTTACTTCTTTTTGTTCCTACGATCCTTGTCCACAGGTCCCGAGAGTTTGGAAAGGCCCAGGGGGTCTGCAGGTGACATCTCATCAGATGGTGTACCAGCTGTCAAGAAAGATGGGCAGTTAAAGAGGGAGAAATAGAAACACACGATGGCCGCCATTGGCTGTCTTAACTTTCAAGAGAGAATTCCTACACAGCTACTTCTCCATATGGTGAAAATCACAGACTGGAGATAGCAGAGACTAATCTTTGGGCAGCAGCCATGTTGCTCATTCCAGCGCAACCAAAAGTTAAAGGGAGCGGGGGGGGGGGGTCCTCAAGAAAGGCAAGAGGTTGTTTTTTCCCCTAATTGTTATAGATTGTTTTTGACAAGAGACAGAAAAGCCAAGTTATGAGCAGTCTTTCTGAACTTGATGTGCTCCAGATGTGCTGGATTATAATTCCAAACAGAGCCCTTGGTCGCAAGGATATAGATATAGAATTACATTTACAGGGAAGGAGTGGGGCTTGTTTTAGTGGGAGGAAAAAAGATCAAACTGAGTCTGTGGGTGGGGAAAGCATACCAAGTGAGGGGGACTCACGGCCCAACTGCCCCAGCCTCCCTTTCTCTTTCTTGCCGAAGAGACGCCCAATGGAAGATTTGATGCTTTTCTTCTTGGTGGACTTGTGTAGGGAATCCTGACTGCTGTTCGTGCCATCTGTCCCAAGACTGTGACAAAGGAAAAAAATCAGAGTTAGAAATACTATATGGAAGGTATATGAAAAAGGACAGCAATAAATTTTCCCAATATTAAAACTGCCTCCTGGATTGGGTTGGAATAACATATTATTCTAAGACAAAATAGGTAGGTTAGTGTGCTTGGAGACTCAACTAAGATCTAAGCATATAAGATGACACCATATTCAGGTTTATTTATTTGGCCATAGTATGGTATATAAACTAAAGTCTGCACGTAAGTGTCTTGAGTGAACTCAGACCTTAAAAGTTCTGCTTTGTCATTGTACCCCACAATTTTTTACTCAAAACTGCAATTTATAGCTCTTTTTCTCTAGCAACTAATTCTTTCTTCAAAAGAAAGAATCCTGAAGCTCTCAGCACAATTTCAGCCATACTACATTGTCAGAAGCAGCTGGCTGGTATCTAGTATTAGAATTTAGGGAGGTCTCTAGTAGGTCAGCCAAGGATTTTCAATACCAAACCTTTAGAAAAATAAAAACAATTTGTTTTGAAAGCCCCAAATTAGGCAGCTGAAACCAAGAAAAATAGATACATAGTAATTCATGTATGAATGTATGTTCAGTCATTCCTTCCTTCATTTAATGTATAGTTTTTATAGGTTCAATTCAAAGGTTCTGTGCAGAATTCAGTGAAATATAAGTAGGCAGTGGAAAAACCAGAAATAGATTTTCATGTGGAATGTTGCCTGCCTGGCTACCTACTTTGTGGGGAGCCTGCTTGTTTGCTTGCTTTATGAGCAGAGCTTTTCCTGGGTCTCCTGGGGTCTAGGATAAGATGCCTGGAAGAACTAAGAATCAAACTGGCTAGAAATAGTGATCTATCAAGCCAAGAAGCCCTATCTATAAGATGCCAGGAGGAACAAACCTGCCGGAAACAGCTGAGCAGCAACAGCAACAACTATGATTGACTAGGTGCAGGTGGAGTAGGGGAACAACTGTTTGTCTGAGGTCCTGGGGTTTGAGACCCCTGAGGAATCTTACTATCAAGCTCAGCTGATGAGCCACCAGGAAATGCCAAGGAATATCAGAGCCATCAGAAGTAGCTCAGTAGTGGTGGTGGCAATCAGCTGGATGGCAGCCTAGCAGGGAAACAAGTTGACAGTCTGAGGCCCAAGATCACCTGGGGAATAAACTGAATTAATGACCACCCAAAGGAAGACTAGATAACTGTCTGACCCTTGGAAGAATTCATTGAACAGATGAGCAGTGGCTAGGGAGTTCAGTGACTTAGCATAGGTAAGCAAGGAGCAAAGCTGATGGTGGATGGTCTGCAGATCAGCTGAGTAGCCTGCTGGAGAAGCAGATGAGGGTGAGCTCAAAGAACAGTAAAGTGGCCAGCCTGATATACAGCTAAGAGCAACTGAGGCCCAAGGGATAGCTAGGCAGCCAGACATAGAAACTGCTTCACTGCTGCAAGCACTTTGGAAAGCAGCTGAACAAATGACTTTGGGCCAGTATCAGACTACAGAAACTCAGTTGGTGGATGGACCCACACCAGCCTCCATTAAGGACTGTTACCAAAGCTCTCCTACCGATCGGACTAGAATGCAGATTCCATGCTCCTGGTGGGAAGCAGAATAGTCCAGGAGGTCCCTCCGATGTATTAATGGTGGGTCTTCCTCTCAAGGGAGAGGGACAAGAGTCAGTGTCGCTGCATGTGTGGTTAGTTGTATGCATAGTCACACTTTTCCTGAGTGAGAGTCAGGAAAAGAGGGTAGTGAGTCTGGTGCCGCTGCCACTGGTCAGTGGGAATGTCCAGAGAGGAGCATACAGTTTGATGAAGGGGATTAGTGGTTGGGTCTCCATTGGGCTGAGAGTGAGAACTGAAGCATTATGGGACCCACCACTGTCCCTAGGTTGACTCTTGAGCGTTTGCATTCATATGTGGCCAGCCAGGCAAGGAAACTGGAAGACCAGAGATGGAGCGAACAGAAGAGCATGTAGTCATGGGACTGGTTAGTGCCCTGAAAGTCCTTCCCCCACCTTTTAATTTCTAGACAGATTAATTTCTAACATTCCTTGACTCTTTTAAATTTTATATATGTTTTATACTTTTAATATGTTATCGTACACTGACCTCTGTGAAGGAGATGGGCAGTTCTTAACTATGATAAATAATAAAAAAAAAATGACTATAAGCTTGATTCTAACCTAGCATTATTCCTGTTCATTGTAAGTCTGCTATTCCACAACACTATATTTGTATGTATTTATTTGTATTTTGCCTTTATTATTTTTACAAATAACTCATGGTGGGGAACACATCCAATGCACCTTTATTTTGGTTGAGCTTTGCAATTCTAATAGAGCAACAGTTTTGAGCCTAGAAGTTGGAATTTGAAATTTTGTTCTAATATAATTAAGCCCAACTAGGTACAATTGAAATAAATCCAGTGTGGGCCTCTTTGAGGCAGGGTACCTGACTTTCTGGCCTGCTTGTTCCTTTCTGTCACATCCTTAAAACATAAAATGCCAACCCCTGCACTGAATGCTCTACCTCAGTTCTCCCATTCCTCACCACAAGGCCCACTAGGGTTTTGCAATTACCTGGTTCTCAGGTCCCTGCCATCTTCCAGTGCTCCAGCCTGTAGAGCTAATGCTTGAGTCATACGTTCAAGACGCATTGTACGGGGGGTTGCGGGTGTTGGGGGTTCACATAATGCTAAGGCCTTCTCCTCAGAGCTTCGCATCTCTTCCTTGGCAACATGATTCTGCCGGGAGGAGAAAATGGTACAAAACCAATCTATTTGTCACTGTTGTCAGATGGGGAGGAAGATGCTGCTCTCTGGGAGCTTCTCAAGCTGCATAGGAATGAAGGTCACAAACCTTTGGGACTAAAATTCTGCAACATAGTGTCTCATTTTAAAAACTCTGTAAATTGTGGCAATACTGCAGATGGTTTTGATTCCTTGTTTAACAACTTCAACAAGAATTTGAGAGTATTGCTCTAAAATTGGCTGCTGCTGAAGTTTATGAGAAAATCAAGACTTACAGCCAGAAAACCAGAAAATTAATTCTACAATTAGATCATTTTATAGATTGAGCATGTGTTGAGCGGAACCTTATTCCTTATTTCTATGTCCTGCATAAAATCTTTACTAATATAAGAAGCATAAATTTAGCCAACCCTGGGCTACCTTCAAAAGTAAATTAAAAGTAATTTAGCTCAACTAACTGTTCATAAATTGGGTATCTCTTTTATATACCTCTCTTTGATGTCCTTCAGATTATTGCAAAAACAATGACAATAAGCTCTAAACACACATGCACCACAAGTAACTGAACGATTAAAAAAAGATTTTGTTTTAAACAAGTGACATTTGCCCACAAGAGGAGAAGGCTGAACAAAGCAAGCCAAAGGCCCATCTAATCCCTACTGTTTCTAATAATGGCCACTTTAGATGTCAGGTAAACTTTTATTATTGCCTTCAAAACCAATATCTGGACCCTATATAATAGGATGGGGAAAGATCTCTGTATTCTTGAAGAACTGGGACTGCACTGCATAATCCCAAATGGACAACCTGTCAACTGGAGACCACATGCAGACCTTGAAAACAAAATATGTGTATTCTGGGAATAGAGAGAGAGCTAGCCAGTTTTCTAGTGGAGAGTGGATGAACAAGATAAAAGGAGCAACCAGAAGTAAACCAGTATTTTCTTTTACTATTGATAGCAATAGCAATAGACTTTATATGCTGCTTCACAGTGCTTTTACAGCCCTCTCTAAGTGGTTTACAGAGTCAGCATATTGCCCCCAACAATTTGGGTCCTCATTTTACCCACCTCAGAAGGATAGAAGGCTGAGTCAACCTTGAGCCTGGTGAGATTTGAACTGCCAAATTGAGGCAGCCAGCAGTCAGCAGAAGTAGTCTGCAGTACTGCACTCTAATGATTGCGCCACCTTGGCTCACCATGATAAACATATTGGCTCCATCAGAAGATAATCAACCAACTGCTGGGGCATAGATCACTACCTTCTTGCTCCTACATATCTGCAGTAGGTTGGGAAGAGGAAGAGAGATGTGAAGTGGATAAAATATTTGATATGTGAGTGAAAGGAAGGATGTGCTTGTGTTATGGCTCCCTTCTCCCTTTTTCTTCATAACAACAATCCTGTGAGACTGAGAAATAGTGACTTGGGACTCCATAGCTGAAGATGGAACCTGGGTTTTTACAGTCCTAGTTGAATCTCTTAACCATTGCATCACCCATCTCTTAACTCTTTGGTGATTTACATCAATGTTTCTGCAATGAAACAACTGTATGAATACAGCTACATGCAGCCATCTCTTGCCCAGATCCATTTAAAATGTACCATTTTTTCTCCATCACGAGCAGGACTGTGGGGTGCCAAGCGAGGTGTAGAATGGCCACTGCTGGGGGGAGAAGGGCTGGCAAGAGTTGAACTGGTGACAGAGGGAGGAATGGAAGTGCCTGAACGGTAGCGCCCCAAGGATCCATCCAGACTGGCACTGGTTACTCGGCTCTCAATCTCCTCTGCTCGCTGTTCAGTGGATTCTTTCTCCTCTTGGATCAGCCTTGTATAGCCAGCAAAGAAAAAATATGATAAGTGGGTCATCAGCATAATGTGTTTTACCTTCTCTTTTATAAATTATACATGCAATATAATCTACAGGCATGAAATTAAATGGAATTACTGTGCTTCGTTTAGTCCATAATCCACTGGTTATTTGCCCTTGTGATGTAGAGCAATATATAAAATAATTGTAAATAATAATTGTAAGTAATACGCTGTTTCCCCCAAAATAAGACATCCCATGATAATAAGCCTAATCGGGCTTTTGAGCACATGGCAATAAAGCCAAGCGCTTATTTCAGGGTTCAAAAAAATATAAGACATGGTCTTATTTTCGGAGAAACACTGTATTTGTAATAACATAAGATATCTTAAAATTGCTAAAGTTGAGAAACACTTCCATATCCTATATATATAAAGGATATTGTTTTTGATATTCCTCTAGCACAGGGCTATCAAACTCCAGGCCCATGGGCCAGATGCATCACGGGCTGGCCACGCCCACACCCAGTTTAGCAAAAGGGGAAAAAAACCCAATATGTCACGTGATGCCGCCGTGACGTGAGTTTGACACTCCTGCTCCAACACAATCAATACATGGCTAGATGGAAAAAGACCCCCCCTTTGGTTGCAATGTAGAGTGCTGGCTATCATATCACCTAAAGAAAATGGATCATTTAAAAGCAAAAAAATTAGTCTGTTCAGGGACTAAATCAGAACTCTCTTGATATGTTTCTCATATATAGATTTCCTACACTGGGCATTGGGACATGTGCTGAAAACACAGGGCATTGTATTTAGGGAAAGCCTTAAAATGGTGAAATAGTTTCAAGAGAAAACGTAAGGCAACAAAAACATCTGGGTCAAGCAAGCAGGAGTCAAGGTCAGGAAGAAAGTTGCACATGCATGCTGCTCTATGTCTGGCCAGGACAACTCACTTGATCTCTTTGTTAATGGCTTCCAGCTGCTCTTGTAGCATGATGGCCAAGGTCTGTACATCAGCCTGTCCACTGGGAGACAGCAGATCAGCTGAGCTGAAGAGAGGATCACGTTCATCCTCATCCGAACCATCCAGCCCACCCTCAAAGGAGCCTCCAGCTGCCTGCTGAGCCCTCTCCCACTCCTGAATTGTGGGGAAAAGGCCTGTCAAGAAAGAAAAACAGATAGTAAGAGAAAGTTTAATCCCACCTTTCTTAGTTAATAGAAAGCAGGAGTCACAAAAGGACACCCACAAGAACCAGGATGCTCACTGAATCTTAAGAACACATTGAAGTCTCCCATCCCACCCAAAATTAAAAACCATAGTTCATGAGATTACATGAAATTGTACAATTCCACTCTAAAGAGCTTTCAGAACATGATCTTGAACCATGACTTGCTTCGTGTTATTCTATCTTCTGTAGTACAGCAATACAGAGGAATGATTTTGAATTTACTTATGACACATTTTCATGGACTTGAAAAATGCTATCATAGCCCTGCATATCATCTTCTCTTATTTCACTATAAGGCTTCTCTGAATCTTTCTCAAAATTTGGTGACCAGAACTGCATGCAGTATTTGAGACTGACACAGATTGCAATAGCACTATTAGTCTATTTGCCTCTGATTTAAAATGTAAACTTTATTAATGCAGTCTAAAATTGTGTTTACCTTTTTTTGACAGTTGTGCCACAGTGCTGACCCACATTCAACTTGTGATCACTTATAACTCTAAGAAGGTCTTCATTTGTACATTTCATTCCTATTTCTATCTCTTGTGCTTTTGGTTGCTTTTCCCAAAGGATAGAACTTTACATTTGTCTCTCTCCTCTGCTCTCCTCTCCTCTGTTCTCCCCTCCCCTCCCCTCTCCCTTTTATTTTATTTTTCAGCCCACCTTTCTAACATACAAAGAAAATTTTGAATTCAGCTTCTATTTTCTAACTTATACCCTATTTTACACCCTTTTGTATCATCTGCCAATTATAATGCATGATGCTAGTACAAGACCTTATGAAATTTAGCAACATCACGTGAGCTTAGACACTTTGGAAAAAACCTCAGAAGGACAGGTATCCAGGGCTTGAAAAGGTTGACAATTCCTACTATACAGATATGAAAATCATTGATAAAGGCTACCCAGCTTCAGTAGATAGCAACATGCCCATAAAACAGCAGCCCACAACTTTTTGGGCACCATGAACCAGTTCTGTGGGGACAGGTTTTCCCATGGACCGGGGGGATGTAGTTCGCATGCCGCTTGTATCTGACGGATAGGGCTTTGCTTGTTTACGCAGCTCAGTTTCTGGCATGCTGCAGCCTGGTGCCAATTCACGAACTAGGGGTTGGAGGCCCCTGCCATAAGAGACATGATCACCCTCTTCCAAATTGCCAGTACTGTTTTGCTACCCATTTCTCTAAAGTGACATCAGAAGATACTTACCAGGTGTATGTCCAGTGGCAGATGGAATACAAAAAAAAAAAAAAAAAAAGTAACAGAAACAAAATAACAATGAGTACATAATGGGAAATGGAAAGCAAAATATTACAATCATTGCTATGCTCTGTGCACATTGTCCTATAAAAGCAACATCTACATACTTAGATTTGGTACTATCTTCTCTAGCTGTGCTACCTATTCAATGAAATCGATATCATTTCCTCTGGAATCTATGACTACTTCTAAACAACAGAGCCTATCACTGAACCATGGAAAGAAAGCTCAGTAATTCCATAACATTCTTTCTTTGTTTCCCTGTTTTAATAGCTTTAATTATTTCTTTTTCAGTTTAATACATTTACTACATCATCAGTGGCCCATAAATCAGCTGTTATTGGCAATTAGGTATTCTCTACTTAGACAAGCAACATGAAACCCCCAATCAATATTCTACACATATATGAAGGGTTTGATATTCTACAGGACCACATAAAATGTTCGTATAATTATGGGTTATAGGAGATTGGATACCCATATATATTTCAATTTAATTACACTCCATATGGAAAAAAATAAATATTTTTTAATTGCAGAGTATGCAACACAGCAATACAGCTAATATCACCAAAATGTGCAGTAGATTGCCTGATTGATTCCTAGCTGGAAAGAGCATCTGGGAACCCCCAAATACATTTTTACCTCCATGATGGAACAAAAGCTATACTCAATGTTCCAAAAGTATAAGGAATTCTTATGTGTCTAAAATGCAGAAAAGACATGCAGATTCCTGAGATGCCTCCAGTAAGAGCCTTTTCTTATTCTTCATCCATCATCTTCCCATATTCTATTGCAGCGAGTGTACTCGACCTAGACATTAGTTGTACAAATCTCAATGAAATCAATGACAAAATAATTACCTCTCAAGTTCCACTGATTTCATTGGGCATTAAATGCAACTGACAGAATAAATATAAGAGAGGAGGGTTGAGACAGATTTAATTCCCAGCCTTGCTGAATCTTTCCTTTCATCATTTCAATGCTTTCCAGATGCTGCTGGGGGCTTATAGGGGTTTTATTGCAATACATCTAAAGGAGATATCTGTTTTAGAGTCATGAACTGGCAGAAGGCAATGGGGAGTATTCGCTGAAAAAGTTGGATTGCTAAAAATTCAGAATGACTGTGGCCAAGAATTGTAGGGAAGAGAGTTGTTGAAATATTCTAGAAGGAACTGTAATAAAAGATGTTCTCTGACATATGGATTCTGCTGTAGTGTGAGCCATAACTGTCAGCTGTCCTTTTCCAGATTAATAGCAAGGTGATGATCTGGTAAATATAGAACATTAAATGTTTCATTTGCTTATTATGTATTTTCAAGGATAGCATAGAAACATCCTCTGCAAAGCACCTTTAGGTTACAGGCCAAATAATATGCCTCTTTTCAGGTCCCACTTCAAATGGATAATGAAGGTCAGAATAGACCATGGCCAAGTCTTATAGAAAACAATTACTTCATTTGCAATAGTGGCAAATATCTGTAGCTTGGGTGTAGGATGAGGGTTGCATCATCCACATGGCCATGTGATCAAAATTAAGACACTTGGCAACTGACTCATATTTATAATGGTTGCTGTGTCCTGGATCATATGATCACCTTTTGTGACCTTTTGACAAGCAAAGTTAATAGGGAAGCCAGATTCACTTAACAACCATGTTACTAACTTAACAACTGCAGTGATTTACTTAACAACTATGGGAGAAAAGTCATAAAATAGGGCAAAATTCACTTAACTGACTCACTTAGCAACAGAAGTTTGGGCTCAACTATGGTCGTAAGCTGAGGACTTCCTACATTAACTTAACTAGATATGTTGGAACAACTACTCTCAAATTTTCCAGCAAATGCAGTGGCTGGAAATTTATATAAAATAATCTCTTCACATTTGGAGGAATTCAGGCTAGGGAAGGCTGCTCTGAACAAACATATAACATCTCACTAATACCATTTCAAAACTCCCTGATGATCCCTTTAATTTTGGTTCAGCTTTTTTCATAAACTTATCAATTTGTCAGCAGACAATCCATACCTTGGTAGCCTCATCCTTGACAGTCCAGCGTCCTTTCTTTGAACGTCTTGCCACACCAGCACTGCTGTAATGGTCCACGTGGGCCCCTACCGGCAGCGTGGATGCTTGGGAGTAACGCAACTCCAGCACGCTACCTGGCAGAGACCTCCGTGGAACAGGGAAAAAGAACTGTGAGCAAGAATAATCAGGGAGGAAGAAGAAAAGATCTATTCCATTCAAGTTCTAGAGCTCCCATTTTAATCAAACCTTCAGCCCTTTTTCTATACATGGTTCCACCAACAAAGACTATTCCCATCCTTCAAGAAGTCTGAAATGTTGTAATCATGGCACAGAAGATCATGAAACTATGGGTATGAGAGGAAGTGTAAAGGAGTAAGCCAAACATATTACAAAAGGCATGTTCTAGATATAGAACACTTTTGCTAGCTTTAACTAACAATAATACTAAAATAATTGGCTGGATTTGCAACACTAAAGATTAGTTTAGAATGGGCTGAGAATTAGTGGTTCAGCATGTTGTGGGAATCCAGCAATTATCTAGCAGGGTTTGAGAACTTGGATATTGAAAATGAGCACTGCTTGATTTCTGAAAGCATGAAGCCTCCTTACCGAGAATAGGTAGAGACTGGGCGTCCACGTAATTGATCTATCTCCATTTGCATCCTCTCAATCTCAGCCAATAGTTGCTCCTGCAGGACATGGTCAAAGGAGGAGATCAGTTCTGGAAAGCAATCTAACTGACCTTCCATCACATCCTTTAAATAACTTGGAAACTTTCCTCGGTCTGTCTTGATTTTAGGGTTAGTTTTAAAATTTTAATATTGATTTTAAATTGACAAGTTTTAAATTACGGGCCAAATTTCTAAATTATTTTAACTCTATTTTTAACTGTAATGTTATGTATAGATGTTTTTATTTTGGCTGTTCACCGCCCTGAGTCCGAAAGGAGAAGGGCGGTATAGAAATTTGAATAATAAATAATAATAAATTAACCCAACCCCATATCCCTAAAATTCAACATGTTTCTCTCCAATTTTGCACTTAGAGATTCCCAAAACACACACAAAGTTCAATTCTCAGTTGCCATCTGCCTCACCTTGTTTGCCAGTAGCTCATCCTGTACTTTCTTCATGTTGGCAATTTCCTCACTTAGTGTATTCTTAAGGGGGATAAAATGAGAAAAAGAATTTAATCAGAGTAAACACATAGTAAATTTTTTACATGCAACTCAACATACCTTCCTCTCTACAGATGCAATATATTTCCACTATTCGTCAAGAAAGAACCAACTTGTGTTAGAGCAGGCTATGAAATGAAGGATAATTTCAGATTTTTTTCTATCGGTATTTGAGCTTTTGCTTTATGACCATTTCTGCCTCTTCTTCTGTCATAAGTACCACGCACAAATCAAATCCCACCTACGATTAGAATTCTCAACTGACAATCAATGGTCTCTAAGCAGCATCAGTGGCTGGTTCTCAAAACAGACTCCTGGGGCTCCTTTTATTCAAGAACTTGGATGGTCAGTTTCTTTAGCAGCTAGAATAATAGCTATCATCTTTATGACTAAACAAAACAAAAAACATCCATAATGGCCGTTATGAGATTTTGTTTTGTTTTTAACAGCAGTTACTATGCTTTTACCATACAAACTCAGATCCAAAACATCCAGTACATTTTATTTTAGAAAAATAAAGATTGTGGTTACTATTTTGTGTTTCAAGGTATGATATTCCTGTCCTCTAGCAGTTCCTTCAGTTGGATTTTCACTCAGCTGATTTACAGATACAGAACAGCTGATTCCCACATCACAAATCTAATTCATGCCTACAAAAACATGTACCTTCTCCTCCAGTGCCCCCATTCTTTCTTTCAGATGCAACTGGAGACGTTCATTAGATTCAGATAGTAGTTTATCTACTGTTTCTGAGAGGCGCTTGTTATGTTCATCATTCATTTTCTCCCTTTGGCGTGCCTATTTTTCCAAAAGAGAGAACAAAAGTAAAATGATTGTCTGGAAGTCATTCCTCCATTCTACTATCTTACCTTCTTGCCTATAATCAATGATTCCAGTTTCATATCACCTAGGATCCCTTTTTTCCATATACATTTCAGTTATGCCCCCTATGCATACGAAATAGAAGATTGGAAGCTGTCTTGCACCAAGAGAGACCATTTGTCCATCTAGCATATTATTGTCAATATTGACTGGGAACAGTTCTCCAGGATTTGTAGAAATCTCCATTGTTTTCAGTCAGACATGAGATTAAATTGGAACATTTTTTCATGCAAGGCACGTCCATGTGCACAGAACCATAGTGCATCAGCAATGGTCTGGCGCTTCCAGTACCCATCTAATTCTACCCAGTTTTTTACTCATGCCCTCACCCTCTGGAGCTCTTGATTCTTCTCTTCCAGTTGGGCTTCAAGTTGACGCAAACGCTCTTCAAAATTGCCATGCCTCTCCTCTGCCTAGATAAGGAAGTAAATGAGAGAATTAAGCCATATTTTGTTTCTCTTAGAGTTCAAAACCCTCCCACTTCTCCAATTTCCACTTGTCCTCCAACACCAGCAATCAGTCTTCCATTGGCCATTGCCTCCCTACATTTCTTGATGGCACGTTCAATTTCTTCCCTGTTTCGCACAGTACCTTGTTAAGGGCAGCTACTCTCTGTGCCAACTGGGCCTCTATCTCAGGTAAAGTCTCAGCCTTCTGAAGAGTCTGCTGAAGTTTCTGTTTGGCATCTTCCAGCCAGTCTTGTAGCTGCCTATTTTTTTCTTCACTCTACACAGATAAATAAATACTTTTAAGAGGTTGTCAAGAAACAAAACCCTGCAAGGTGAATCATCATATAAGTAACTAAGTATTACCCACTAGCAGTATGCATGGAGAAGCAGGGAGAAAAATGGGCAACTACCAACTTATCTGCAGGATATGCAGAATGCGCACATTAAGGTCAGCCAGACATTAACAGGGAAATAGTGGAGCCAATAATAGTAATAAATAGAATGACGAAAAGGCAAAAGTAGGAACTCACTTGTCTATAGAGGGATTCCTTACTGGCCAACTCATTTTCCAGTTTGTCATTGACATCATGAAGGGATGTTGCCTCCCGCTGAGCACTTAAGTAACGTTTTTCTAATGTGGTAATTCGTTCCTCCATGTCTTCTCGTTGAGCTAATGCCTGTTACCCATACCACATGAGAGAAGGAAAGGATAAGAGCCTTGGTGGCGCAATGGTTAAAATGCAGCATTGCAGGCTAATTCTGCTGACTGCCGATTCCCAGCAGTTCAGCAGTTTGATTCTCATCAGCTGAAGGTTGACTCAAGTCTTCCATTCTTTCGAGGTCAATAAAATGAGGACCATACGGGGGCAATATGCTGATTCTGTAAACTGCTTAGTCAGGGCTGTACAGCACTATGAAGCGGTATATAAGTCTAAGCACTAAGTGCTATTGCTGTTAAAAATGGTAGGAGGTGGATAGAGCCATACTGTCTCCAATTGTCTGGAAACGTAAGAAACCTCTGCTGAGATTCTTCACTTATTAATTATGAATGAAATTAAGATTATATTTTATAATCTGTAGATTATATTCTTACAGATTCTATCACTTTTCAGTTAATTTTCCTATTACATGCAAAAGCTATACATTTCATGACATGAAGCCACTTAGCATACAGGCAGTCCTCAAATTATGACCACAATTGCAATAAGAATTTCCATTGCTAAGCAAGGTGTTGGTTAAGTGAATTGTGCTCAATTTGATGACCTTTTTGCCAGAGTTGTTAAGCAAATCACTGCAGTTGTTAAGTGACTCATGCAATCATTAAGTAAATCCGTCCATCTCTTGATCATTTCTACTATGTTTTCTCTGCTTTCTCTAAAACTCTTCATGATTCCATCTATATCAGGGGTGAAATGCTCCTGGTTCGGACCTGCTCGGGAGGGTAGATAGCGATGGCGGCGGGCAGTTCGGAGAACTGGTAGCAAAAATCCCTGCCCCTGCCCCCCATGCCCAGCTGAGCTGCGCGATCATCAGAGCCTTTTTTTCCTTTAAAATGGCTCTGACGAGCCAAGCTCTGACGATCCCAGCTGAGTTGTCTGCTAATCAGGCAACTCAGCTTGGATTGCCAGAACCATGTAAAAGAAAAAAAGTTTCTTTTTTCTCCTCCCCCCCACCCCCCAGGCTCCAGCTTGCTTACCTTAGCTACTGGTCGCAACGCTGTAATACCTGCAATCCATTGCATCAGCAAGCAATTGAATCTCCCTGCCTGCAATCAAGCTCATCGGTGAGCAGCTCTATCTGCAACTTTAAGACCTGTGGACTTCAACTCCCAGCAAAGCTGGCTGAGGAATTCTGAGAGTTGAAGTCCACAAGTCTTAAAGTTGCCAAGGTTGGAGACCCCTGTTCTACTGGGTAAGTTTTTGGGAGCTTTAAAAAAATAGTTAATTGGGGTTTTTTTTAGTTCTTTTTTTTAGACCTAGCCATTTAAAGTTTAGGAAGTTTTAAATTTAGCTGCTTTTATATAAAAATAAAAATAAATTAAAATAAAATAATATTTGTGCAGCTTTCTGAGATTTAGTGTGTTTCTGTAGTGTTTCACTCTAACTACACAAACACACAAAATCTCACAAAGCTGTATGTGGAATTTTGTGTGTGTAAAGTGTGAAAGTTGGTTTTGGGGGCTTTTTGGGGCTGTATGAGGTTCCTGCTTGTTGCAGGGGCCATTTTGGGTCTAGCACAACTGCTTTTACATTATGGGTGAGCCAATTGTGTTGTGTTGTGTTGTGTGGTGTGTGTGTAAAGTGTGAAAGTTGTTTTTTGGGCTTTTTGTGGCTGTGTGAGGTTCCTGTTTGTTGCGGGGCCATTTTGGGTCTAGCACAGCTGCTTTTATATTGTGGGTGAGCCAGTTGTGTTGTGTTGTGTTTTGTAGGTTAAAAAAGGGCAAAGAAGTGACATTGACTTGGCCACGCCCACCCAGTCACCTTACCATCAAGCCCCACCCACTAATTAAGCCACGCCCACAGAACCAGTAGCAAAAAAATTTAGATTCCACCTCTGATCTATATACTACTAAAACTCTTGTATCTGTAACCATTAACTGGGTGAAAAGATCCATCATGGGGCAATCAAAGTACTTCAAATGGGCTAACTTATAAAATGCGTCAAAGATCCAGAACCTGTGACTCCATGCTATTAAAATTCGGCAAATTTTATAAAATGTTTTATGATATAAAAATTATCATAAAGTATTTTGTGATATAATCCAAAATGTCATAAAGCATTTCCTGTAGTCCACTGCTAATGTTTGACTGTGCTATATAGTTCAATATGGGCTATTTCAAGGTGAATATATTTCTGAATTTTAAAGAATTTTTCGAGTGCATTAGAGATCTGCTATTGTTGAAGGCATTGAGGAATCTCTGAAATAATGGCCCAGTGGGTCATCGGTTCTATGAGCTTTTGGACTTGAATTGGAGCTCATCTTCAGAGAACTTCTCTCCAGTATGAGTCCAAAAGCTCGGAAGACAAAACTTCTGGTTCTGGTGGCTGACCCAGATTGAATCCTGCAACATTATCCTAGGACACATATATTCACCTTTATTCATGGGGTTGTCTTGTATTTTACATATGGATACCACTTAGCTTCATATATAGCCTTACATTATTGGCTATATAACACCAATCCCTTCTGAAAAACTCCTGATTACTATATTGGCCTACTCCATTTTCACAACCCATTACCGCTGTAGAAATTCACCAGTTGAATAAGATGTTTTTCTGAAAAACTCTCTCCAAATGATTCCCATCTTCTGAATTTCATAAGCTGAGACATTTGAGTATTTATTTATTGCAGACCTGTCTATCCTAATGCCCACTTGATAGGTTTAGATTGCAATTCTTACTCTTTGATCATGTTAAGTGGGAAGATGAACTTTCAGCATACCCAGAAGAGGTCAGATTAAACACTTGATCTAGAGAAGAGGTAACCTGCCATAAAGTACAATGGAATACCAATTATTGCCTTTTACCTCCTTGAGATCTCTTTGTAGCTTGGCATTAATTTCTTCAGACTTAATAAGATCTCGTTGGGCAGTGGCTAACTCTTCCTCCAGTTCTGCCATCTGCCGACAGAGCATGGTAAGTCTTTCTTTCAACTGGGATAGTTCTCCTCTCTGGCGCTCCAAAACCTCTTCTAGCTCAGATTCCCGACCCCCACGCCCCAAATCAAGAGCCCCAGATCCATTAGCCTAAAGAATAAAGTAAATAAAAAGAGATTCATGTATTATAAGTTAATCCTGCTCGATATGAACGTTAGGTTTTCCTCCTCCCCCGACTCTTCATGTTCACTGCATAAGTGAGGCCTATAAATTACATATAATGATCATGCTCTGTATGCAAAAAAAAGAAAGAAAGAAAGAAAGAAAAAAATCCTAGCTTAAATCAGTGACATTTCTGTGGAGGCAGAGGGATTTTTTTAAAAAAAATCTCATTTATATGATTAGATTGGTGTTGGCAGAAACAACACTGCCACATTATCTACACACAGTCTGATTCACATGTTAAACTCACATTTTATAATCTCCTTTTGACTTTCCCACATGAAGCACACTAAAAACTAAGATCCCTTAAAGCTAAGGGTAATCCTCAAGGTGTTTTTCCAATTCTTGGAGCCCTAATGATTCACTATTAGTGAAACATGATGTTAGGAGGAAAGAAGGCTGCATAAAGAACCAGAAGGAACTTAAATAGAAAAATGTCCAGAGCAATTAGGGACATTCAAAAAACAGAATACCTCACAATTGCTATATAAGAAGTTTTCTTAACCCAATAAAAATTAAAAATGTCTCCGTAGAAGGGCACAATGAATAAGTATGCTTGACCTAACCAACTTTTTAAAGTACCGCTCTATACTTTAACAGAATAACAAAGTTGGGAAGGGACCTTGGAGATCTTCTAGTCCAACCCTCTGTTCAAGCAGGAAGCCCTAAACCATCTCAGCAGGAAGCCCTAAACCATTTACCATTCTTTCTACTATCCTTTTCTGCTTTCCCTCAAATTTGCCTTCCAGATCCACTTACACATAATTGGGCATCTCCTTCTTTGCTGGAATCATCTAGGCCAGATCGGCGTCGGGCAAGCTGCTCTCGAAGGGAAAGGGACTGCAGATTGGAAAGAGGTAGTGAAATTTTTAAAAGTGAGATCTGTTAAATGACATACAATTAATTTTAATGAATAAGAAATAGATGACAACCAGGACAGCCCTTTCAGCAGCAGTGAAGATTCTTTTAGTATGGAGGATATATTACCAACATTACATACTGATTACTACCCATATGCTCCAGCATAAAATGTTATGTCCACACTGTTTCATTATCATGAATTTTCATCTATATTCTCTGACTGCGTTCATCCATAGGACCATGTCAAGATTTTATGTAACCATGATTTGTTCAATAAATCAATGTGGTCATTTCCCACAAAGTAATAAACTAGTGCCTTCTGGCACCCATGATATAACTATCAGGTTTTGTAATAGTACCATAACCCAATACCCTATGAAATCTTCCTGAAAGTTGCAGTATAACTACTTTAAAACAATTCCCAGAGATGGTCTATAAGAATATCAAGTTCAATATGTAGTGGAAATAAAAAGCCCCTAAGTCCCTAAGCGGGATCAGGGAAGTTGCATTCCTTCTGTCTTTTTTCTGTAAAGGATTAGTGTACTTTTCAGAGTATAAGACACACCTTTTTCCCCAAAAAAAGAGGGTGAAAATCTGGGTGTGTCTTATACTCTGAATGTAGCCACACCCGGCTTCTCAAACGGAGGTTTCAGAGGCTGGTAAAAGCATCAGAAATGAAGCTTCAGAAAAGAAGTTCCCAAACAGAGCTTCAGAAACTTTTTTTCTGAAGCTGTTTCGGAGGCTTTCAGAGGCAGGAAAAAAAGTTTTTTCTGAAACGGAATTTCAGAAGTTTCAGAGGCAGAAAAAAAAGCAAAAAAACAAACAAACAACAACAACAACAACAACAACAACAACAGCAAGGCACAGAGCTCACAATCAAGGAACCTATTGCTAAAATTCACCTCTGGGAACAGCTGATTGGGGGTATTCCAGGAGGCTGATCCACCTGCCAATCAGCTTTTTTCTTATTTTCCTCCCCAAAAACTAAGGTGCGTCTTATACTCCGAAAAATACAGTATCTACCTATCTATCTCAAAACTGAAGAACTAAACTGAAAAAGGCCAAGATAATTAGTGTCCTCCAAAAATATCTGCAGCTGCACAAATTCCAATCTTTCAAGCATCTTGCTCAAAAAGGCTATTTGTGACAGAACAGTTGTTACCTAAAGTATGAATATCCAAAGGTGGATTCTTCTGGAATGGGCAGATGATTGCCCCCACAGCCCCACTCTATCACACAAAAATGCATTCACTTGTCCCTTCAGTTGTTCCAAATAAGCCAAGATAAGCAATGATCAAGAGCTCATGTAGAAGGCTAAACAATGATACATCTTGTCCTTATTCCCAAGTCTCAAATTCCATGTGAATGTTATATCTTCAAGAAAAGACCATGCAACAGAAAGCATGACAAAATGTGACCATATTCACCAGATGATGATGTGGCCATGACAAAGGATAACTATAACTCAACATACTAATATCCTGGCTGCGTCTCTCTCAAGGAGAGATAAAACCTAAGTCACAATGTACCTCATTTTATGTCTTAAGTCTAATAACAGTTTGAGATAGACTCAGATAGAAATTGTCACTGAGATCATGAAACTTTGAGTTAGCCTTGTGCAAAGTATCTTAGGGTGATTGCTAAAATCCTCCAAGATACTGCCCTAGAGTTTTCCAACTTCATATCGAGACTACTTCCAATGAAGCTGCAGCACAACAGGATGGTGGCTTACCAACAGTACCCTTAGCCTGTCTCCTTAACCAAAAAGGTCTTAGAATCTTTCTCAGGTTGGGGAGTCTTTCTAGGAAGCAAGATACCAATCTCCTGGCCCATAGAAACCCTCACATCTGGATAGATGCTGCACTGAGAATTCAAAGAATCACAGCTGAATCAGCTCTATAACTCTTTCTCTGCTACTCAGATTTCAACAAAGTATATCAGGTTAGCTTCTGAGTAGGTTTCAATAAGATTCTAAGCTAAACCCAAACCACATTATAGCTTAGTGCAGGGGTGTCAAACTCAATTACATTGAGGGCTGCATCAGGGTTGTGTTTGACCTTGGGGGGAAGGCGGAGGGCCTTCCCCCCAAGGGTGGCCATGACTAGTTCGACGTCATTCATGTCAGGGCGCCTGTGGTGGCCCGAACACTCTGCCAGCAAAAACGGGCTCCTGAGCTCCGTTTTTTGCTGCGACAGCCTCCTGCAACTGCTAGCAAAAATGGAGCTTGGGAATACAGCTTATGGCCCTCACGAGTTCTGTTTTCGGCTGCGATAGCCTCCTGCAAACCTCTGCCAGTGAAAATAAGCTCCATTTTCGCTGGCAGAGGCACCGCAGGCTGGTTCTTCGCTGTTTCCAGGGTGGCCCTGCAGACTAGATCTAAGCACCCTGCGGGCTGGATCTGGTCCCCGGGCCTTGAGTTTGACACTGCTGGCTTAGTGTAAGAAATTAGCTGTCCTCTAAAGTCTATAGACTGTATTTCACAATAACTACTTGAATTATGGCTTTAGGGATGAGATAGGTCATTGAAGTGAATGTTTGAGAAAATGCAGATCCGCAGCTGTAAGTATATCAGATACTCTGTAGAAGTTAACTGGAATAAATAAACATCTTTAACAGCCGTTGATATTTTTTTAAACAAAGCATCTCAACCTCACAAGTCGACACAGAAAAGCAAGTTCAAAGAGTAGATACCTGGAGTATTAAATTTGGACCTCCAGAAAAAGTCTGCAAATATATTAAATAATTTGTTTTCAAGCAATAGCCCAACTTACATTTATGTGCTACCTTGCCTTCCACTATATTCACAACAAAATCTCCAAAGACACAATTTCTTACTACGAGCAGCTGTGGGACACTCTGATCATTGCATGATTCACCTTGTACCTGCTTACAGGCAAAGAGTTAAAACTACAAAACCAACAATTAAATCAGTGAAGACCTGGAGGGAGGAGGCAAAGTTAAAGCTACAGGCCTGCCTTGACTGCACTGATTGGAATGTTTTTGAAACATTCCTCTGCAGACTTAGATGAACTCACAGAGACTGTAACATCATATGTCAGCTTCTGTGAAGACCTATGTGTACCCATCAGGAACTTGTGAATATACAGTAACAACAAACCTTGGTTCACAGCTAAATTTAAGCAGCTATGTCGTTCCAAAGTGGAAGCCTACAGAAAAGGTGATAAAATGCTGTACAATCAGGCCAGAAATGTATTAACAAGGGAGATCAGAGCAGCAAAAAGAAGCTAAGGAATCAGTTCTCAACAAATGAACCAGCGAACATGTGGAAAACTCTTAAAAATATCACTAGCTATGGCAAACTTCCTTCCCAGGCTGAAGGAAATCAGCAACTGGCAGATGACCTGAACGTGTTTTACTGCAGGTTTGAAAGGAAACTACAGCCACCTATCTTCACAACCCCCATCTCAGACACACCAACAACAGCCAAGCCTCCTGACCCCATCCCACTGGGTTCACAACCCCTAGTGATCACAGAAAAGGAAGTGCAAGACCTATTTCACAGACAAAAACCAGGAAAAGTTCCAGGCCCAGACAAGATAACTCCTTCTTGCTTAAAAGTCTGTCCTGACCAATTGGCCCCATCTTCACCCGTATCTTCAATAAATCACTAGAGATGTGCTATGTTCTTTCTTGCTTCAAACACTCTACTATCATCCCAGTGCTGAAAAAGCCCACCATCAAGGAACTGAACAACTACAGATCAGTTGTTCTAACATCTGTAGTCATGAAAACCTTTGAAAGGCTAGTGCTGTCCCACTTGAAAACCATCACGGATCTGCTGTTAGACCCCTTGCAGTTTACATACCGAGCAAATAGATTGACAGATGATGCTGTTAATATGGCTCTGCGCTACATCCTACAACATCTTGAATATCCAAAGACCTATGCAAAGGTACTCTTTGTAGACTTTAGTTCAGCATTCAATACCATCATTCCAGACACACTTCTAACTAAGCTAAACCAGCTACAGGTACCTGAACACACTTGCAAGTGGATCATAAGCTTCCTAACAAACAGGAAGCAGCAGGTGAAGCTAAGCAGAATCACATCAGATACCTGCACAATTAGCACAGCCCAGCCCCCCCCCCCAAGGCTGTGTGCTCTCTCCACTTCTCTTCTCTCTGTATACCAATGACTGCATCTCTAACGATCCATCTGTTAAACTACTGAAGTTTGCAGATAACACAAGAATGATTGGTCTCATTCAAGACAATGATGAATCCGCATACAGATGGGAGGTTGAACAACTAGCTTCGTGGTGTCACCGGAACAATCTGGAACTGAACACACTCAAAATTGTAGAAATGGTGGTAGACTTTAGGAGAAACCCTTCCATTCTTCCACCTCTCACAATACTAGACAACACAGTATCAACTTATAGCTATTGCTATAAGTGCATTGTAAGCTGCCCTGAGTCTTCGGAGAAGGGCGGCATATAAATTGAACTAATAAATAATAATAATAATAATAATAAACAGTAGAAACCTTCAAATTTCTAGGTTCTACCACATCACAAGATCTAAAATGGACAGCTAACATCAAAAACGTCATCAAAAAAGCACAACAAAGAATGTTCTTTCTGCGTCAACTCAGAAAACTCAAACTGCCCAAGGAGCTGCTGGTCCAGTTCTACAGAGGAAATATTGAGTCTGTCATCTGCACCTCTATAACTGTCTGGTTTGGCTCTGCAACCCAACAAGAGAGACACAGACTTCAGAGGATAATTAGAACTGCAGAAAAAATAATTGTTACCAACCTGCCTTCCATTGAGGACCTGTATACTGCATGAGTCAAAAAGAGGGCTGTGAAAATATTTACAGACCCTTCGCATCCTGGACATAAACTGTTTCAACTCCTACTCTCAAAACGACGCTATAGAGCACTGCACACCAGAACACAAGAACAGTTTTTTCCCGAACGCCATCATTCTGCTAAACAAATAATTCCCTCAACACTGTCAAACTATTTATTAAGTCTGCACGACTATTAATCTTCTCATCGTTCCCACCACCTATCTCCTTCCACTTATGACTGTAATTTTGTTGCTTGTATCATTTGTACCCTACGACTATCATTGTGTTGTACCTTATGATTCTTGATGAACGTATCTTTTCTTTTATGTACACTGAGAGCCTATGCACCAAGACAAATTCCTTATGTGTCCAATCACACTTGGCCAATAAAAATTCTATTCTATTCTATTCTATTCTATTCTATTCTATTCTATTCTATTCTATTCTATTCTATTCTATTCTATTCTATTCTAGTGAAATCACTGATTTCTCATGGGAAATCATTGATATTCAAAGACCCCCCAGATTACATTTGTATGACGAAGTATTTCTGGAGTACTGTTTAGGTGCCCATAATATCCCTGAAGATAGAAGCAAGACCTCTTTCTTACCTCTTGATTAGACATTTCCAGCTCCTCCTCTAATACTGCAACACGCTCTAATGCCACTCGCAGCCGTTCTCGAACCTGCCATGAATCAGAGATAGTTACAATTAATGAAGTAATACAGGAATAGCTGAACTTCCAGGTGAGAAAATGGTGAACTAGATGTCTGAAACACCAGAGATGCCACTGTAGTGACAATTTATGGACTGGCTCAATCCAACAGAACCTCTCCAAACAAGGAAAGGACAAGAAATTACCCTCTTGAGTTCCACATAGCTGCTTTCAAAGATCACAGACAGCATTCATCCTGCAGGTCTGAGCACTGAGAGACAAGGAAAGCCATTAAACTCTGGTGCAGCCTTTTTAAGGATACTGGGTTTGTCTAACCTCACTTTTGGATTTACAATGATTTCATAGTTAAAAGATGTCTTCCAAACAAAAAGTTTGAAAAGCTATATGGTGGATATAACCTAACTTAATTATACTTCATCCCCAAAAAGAAGAAGAATTAATGAAGAGATTAAACAGTTTAGAGTATAACAAATAAATCAAAAAGTTAAGTGAAAATGTAATTTAAGGAAGTTTTAGTCATAGCACTTAGACTTATATACTGCTTCATAGTGCTTTACAGCCCTCTCTAAGCGGTTTACAGAGACAGCGTATTTCTTCCAATAATCTGAGTCCTCATTTTACCAATCTCAGAAGGATGGAAGGCTGAGTCAACCTTGAGCCTCGTGAGATTTGAACTGCCAAATTGCAGGCAGGCAGCAGGCAGCAGAAGTAGCCTGCAATACTGCATTCTAACCACTGCGCCATCACAGCTCAGTTTAAATGAATTAAGGGACTACATAAAATTGGAATCCAAATAATCCTCAATTTATGATTACAATTGAAGCCAAAATTTATGTTACTATATAAGACATAGCAGTTGTTAAGTGAATTTTACCCCATTTGACAACTTTTTTTTGCCACAGTTGTTACGTGAATCACTGCAGTTGTTAAATTAGTAACATGATTGTTAAGTGAATCTGGCTTCCCAAATTACTTTGTTTGTCAGAAGTTCGCAAAAGGTGATCACGTGACTCCAGGACACTGAAACCTTCATAAATATGAGTTAGTTACCAAGTGTCCAAATTTTGATCATATGACCATGGGAATGCTGCAATGGTCATAAGTGTGAAAAACGTTCATTATTTTTTTCAGTGATATTGTAACTCTGAATGGTCACTAAATGAATGATTGTAAGTCAAGACTACCTGTATTACGACGTTTGCTAAGTTTTTTCAAAAACTGAGTAGACCAAAAATATTTTTGTGAGAACATGAGTTGTTTATTAGGAAAGAGATCATTGGCGGAATGTTGAAAGTAGGATCAAAGAAGCATGATGCTTTATGAATACAGAAACGGGCACTAGTGGGAACTAAAATTCCAAGCAGGAAAAAGAAAAAGTGAAATTTACAAAATGACAAAGGTATGACACTTGAGACATTTCAAGTGATCTTTGAAGAGCTGCAAAAGAAATTAAACTGACAGCAATATTTTCTGAATTTGTAAATGCAATTTTTGAAGAAGATTCTAAAGAAAAGTAAAAGATGTGAAAGAAAACTAGATGGAAGAATTTATAGACAGATAGGATGAAGAGGTGAAACAAATTCTATCTGATGTAGAAATATTGGAAAATTTTAAAAAAAGGAATACAAAACAGATGATAATCAGAGTAGAATTAAAAATTATAAAGAAAAATTTGAAAAATGACCTGTGCAAGGACATTGCTGGATATTAAAAAAAGTTCCTGATCTAAAGCCTTGAAGAAGAAGAAAAGCTTGAATGCAGATTTAATCCCACAATAGCAACTTGATGAATTAAAGATTAACATTGTTAGAACAGAATATAAAGTTGACTTGATCAAAGTTAAAATGAGAATTATTTTTATAAAATTCTAGAAATCCTATATGGACTTTTATCAACATTTGGATATAAACTATAATGATTTTTAGATTTCTGAATGGGTAAGGTGGGATTTGGGAAGAAGTGAATTATGTATGTAACCTCATAGGAGATGGAGAAATATTAATTTGCTTGTACTGGTTGCAAGGAAGACTGGGAATCACTTCTTTACATATTTTTTCTATCTGTTTTCTTTCCTCTGCTGTTTTTTCTTTTTCTTTCACATTTTGAATTTACATTTCTTTCTACTCTTTTCTTTTTGATTTCAGTTAATATTATCCTTCGGTACTGTAAAACTTTTTAATAAGCATTTTTTTAAAAAAAGAAAGAAAGGAATAGTTATGCCTTTGTGTCCTAGGCTTGATTGTCTCTGCCTTGTGCCTTGTGCCTCTGCTTGATTCTTCAGCCAATTCAGTTTTGCATCTTGAGAACAATTCAAAATAATTAACCCCATATGTGCTACTTCACATAGTGAGGGCTTCTACATGAATTTTAGCCAGCAATAATCTCGCTGATGATGAAGGAAATATTCAGGACAGTACAGGTAAAGCTCCCTGTCTCCAAAAGCTAGTCATTCCCGTTTGCCCAGTCAATAATATTTTCACCTTCTCATCCAGAGCTTTGTGATGTTCAAAGAGTGACTTGAGAGCCTTCAGCACCTCCACCTCACTGGAGACTCCAGCTGGGGACTGAGCTTGTCGTTTCACTACAGTCATGCGAAGGGAACGCTCGTGTCGTGATACTAGGCATTCTAGATGTTCCAGCAGCAGCTAAGGAGAAGCAGACAGATGAAGAAGATGAAAGACTGAGGAAGATACAATTCTGTCACAGTGGATTCAGACTCAGAGTCAGAAGAGGGAACCCACAACAAGCAGTCAGCTCCATAGTCAGCTCCCGAAGTGAGAGAAGCAGCCAGCTCCACTTCCACCAGTCAGATTGATTGTTTGAGAAGGCAAAGGTGGTGGGCCAACCTCAGCAGACAAACTGCCATCGCACTCTGATGATGAGGGTACAGAATTACTGCTCCCCCACCCAAAAAAGACCTTGGCAGGCTGCAAAGAGGTGTCTGCAAGACTGCTTGCACAGAAAGAGTCTCAGCCCCACTCGGATTGCTTCTACTACTGTAAAAGCACAAGTTTTCCATTGACAACTACTACCCATTAACTCCCACTCTGTGCACCTTGACTAATGAACCTCCCAATCCTGACATTGAACCTGGCCAGCTGACAAATCTGCTACAAGCTCTGACCTCAGATTCCACTTGACTGTTCTCCTGCGTGCCGCATTCATTTGGATTTCTTGAAAGCTTTTGATTTGGAACTCTTGCTAAACTTTGGGGAGAATTTGTCTCTATAGTGCAAGCACATGTTTACAAGCCTCATTTAGTAAAGAACAAAACTACCCCTTCATGTATTTGTGTCCTGGGATAGGACAGTCACTGGAAGGATAGCAAATGCCAAAATCATCAGAGTTGCAGGACTCTGCACAAATGTTCATTTGTTTTGCAGCCTTCCCTCTTTTCAAACATCCATTTCCATAAGTAGATAAATTAGGGCCAAGATGGTGGCATTTTCAAACAGCAAGGACAGAAAGGCAGTTTTGCTTTCAGATACTGATGGAAGCTCCACTGGGGGGGGGGACAGCTTTTGGAAGCAGAAGGAGTTAAGTTCTACTCTGATGGGAGACTAGGAATGGGGAGGAAACAAGAAGACAATTTTTTAATGAAAATTAAAGAAACAGAGAAATTTAACGAATAACTAATAAGTAAAATAAATAATAGACATTAATAATTACAAAATCTCCTTTTGCCTGTACAAACATCTGCATCAAAATTATTTTTGTGTAGCATTTTACCAGCGCATATACACAGTTATATATAATGAAATAACATAATGAGAAAGGAAACTTGACTATGTACAAGGCTTTAGTCCAGTATTTAGAGTGGTGTTTAGGATCATATACTGTATGCTTGTATCAATAATATAGCAATCAAAGTAATCTTATAAAATAAATGGAATATGTCAACAATCCATTTTGAGGAAAAGTGTTTTTTATCAATAAATATAATAGTTATATGAAAGTAGTAGTGAGTAGTGAGTCTGGGGAAAGTGAGTTTGGAGAAAGCTATCATTTAATATTACCAATAAATATACTAGAATTTGGAAAATTCTAGAGTTCAAAATAAAATTGGAAAAACAGCATTTTGTATTCTTTGTAGATCTTACCCGTGTGTTGTTCCGTTCTGCCTTTAGTTCTGAGATCTCCTCCTCACGCTCTGACAGTTGTTCCCTACATAAATTCAACTCCTTAGTAAGTGCTGCAAATTCCTAGTAGAAAAAACAGTCGTGGTAAAGAGAAGCATTGAAAGGGAAACAGAGACTCTCATTTCATGCATTGATTGTATATATTACGATACACTGATCTCCTGGAACATTGAGAAAATATCCTATTTTTATTTTTCTGGCCTGTTCTATAATTTGCTGGCAGCTTTTGGAATTCTCTTGAGAGTCATACTCTGGAAGTACACACAGCTCTGGAACTCAGTTTAAGCAACTTGGCCTTGATTATAAACTTACAGTTTAACTAGGAAATGAAAATAGGACCAGTGAGTAAGTCAAAGATCTGAAGTGAGTACAAAGAATAAAAAAGCAAAATGTTCCATAATGCAGAACTACATAACAATGGAGAAAAGTCTAAACAAAAATGCATAGGAATCTAATGATCACATTCACAGATAGTACTCAATTTACAACCAGAATTGAGACCAGAATTTCAATTGCTAAGTAAGGCATTGTTAAATGAATTGTGCCTGATTTTACTTTTTTTTGCTGGCTAATCACTGCAGTTATTAAGTGAGTCATGTGGTTATTAAGTGAATCTGGCTTCTTCCATTGACTTTGCTTGTCAGAAGTCATCTCAGATCAGAAATTGTGATTATGTGACCCTCGGATGCTGCAAAAGTCAAAAATTCAGGTTGGTTGCCAAGCGCCGAATTTTGATCACCTGATTATGAAGATGCTTCAACAACTGTAAGTACAAGGATCAGTTGTAAAGTCGCTTTTTTCAGTGATGTTGTAACTTCGAATAGTTACTAAATGAATGATTGTAATTGAAGGATTACCTATATAGCAGTCCAAGGAAAGTGGCATGTACATCCAACATTAGATGGTTGAACAGAATGAACAAAGGTGTTTGCTTTGTTTTGAAATCCTGGGCTCTATACAAAATGATACTTAACAATATCCTGCATACCAACAGTTGAGTTTTCTAACTGCAGTAGCTGAGTTCAACGATATGCCCAACCATTTTTCATGGGTTTAAGCATAGTGTGTGAATCCATCTATTAAAGCAACCCAGGCAAAAAAATGAGAGAAAAGTCAAACTGGAGTATCAAAATGTATGTTTTTTTCATCAAGTATTATTGTAACAAACTAAAATTTTGTCTTCTTTGCTTTCATATAAAGTAAAACTACTATGCTCATAGCATAATGACTGATAGCTGTATTATACATATTTTTTCCAAGCAAAGCTAAAATGTAAGTAGTGTTTAGTTCTGGAAAGATAGATTTGAGACAGCAATAGTGAGAGAAAAGATTAAGTAGAGTTACCCTTAAGTCACTGCTTAGTCTTTTTAAAAGTCAGATCTAATCATGGTCTTCTGTTCGATCTGTTCTGGGCTATTATGTAATGAAGGTACCGTAAAATAGAATGCTGTCTTTAGTTTCTTTCCCTTCTCAACTAGAAATAATAGCTGTAGTTCAGTGTATTTGGAGGGCACCAGGTTGCAGAAGCTAGTTATTTCAAATAAATGTATTATAGCCCTTTAGAAGTTTCAGTAGAATAGAAGAACCATCAGACAAAATGTTAGTCTATTTCCCAAAGACAAGCATGCTGGCATTGTAGTCAGGTTGTTAAATATAACAGGATCATCTTTACGCATTACTGAAGAAAAGAAGTATTTGTTCTAATACAGAACACACAATTCATTTTCTTTGGACATGTTTAACTTCAATGTTTCCAGAATTTTCTATTAACATCTTGGTAATTACTTGCTTGCAGTGCTAAGATCTGATTGTTCATACTGTTGTAGTTTAAAACAGAATTTCTGTCCCCTTCATGAAGAGTCCAATCTCTCTCCTGCCCCTCATGCCTTTGGATACACTGACAAATGTCATTTACAGAGTATTCATATACTGATGTACTCATTTGCACATCCTTTCTTCCTAGAGATCACCTGCTCTTTTACAAAGCATAACTTGCAACTGTTTCAGTGACTGAAGGAATTAATAAATGCATATTATTATAGTTTAGGCTGGATTTGGTATTTTTGTCCACCTATCAAATCTTTCCCAAAGACACGGGATAGGCAGATGTTGTTTGATAATGTTAATAGTATCAGTGCAGGATGTAAGCTGTTCTAAGTAAAGCTGTCTTTTGTAATTGATTAATGGGGATTTTGTCAGTGCCAATGCGATTCAAGGTACTCCAGTTTGGGGACTGCACTCAAGATGCCTATTACAATTATTGCTACAAAGGTTTTTTTTGCCATAGTGGTTCTATTTCTATTTGTACATCTTTGTAGTTTGCCATCTTCTCCAGCTCTTTCTCTTCTATTTTACTGCCTCCAGGTACTGCCATGTCCATCAGACATTGTCTTTCTTATCAAAAATTGTTGTGTGACAAATATTTAATTGCTTGAATTCCACAATCCCAGAGCACTGTAGCATCTTCACTTGTTTATTTTGTGGTTCTACTATTATGTTTATTTCATTTATTTTGCTCATCATTTTTAAATATTAAAAAGTGTTTGAGTGAGGAAGCTCTGCAGTGTAATAGGTTGCAGATGATCTATGTCAAATTAATCAGTTTTCTACTACAAATATAAATATGATGTTTCTCCAAACTGAGGTACTCATGTTCTTCTTTCTTTCTTTCTTTCTTTTTCTTTCTTTTCTTTTTTCTTTTTTTCTTTTTTCTTTCTTTTTCTTTCCTTCCTTCCTTCCCTTTCTTTTTTCTTCTTTCTTTCTTTGTCTCTTTCTCTTTCTTTCTTTTCTTTTCTTTTCTTTTCCTCCTTTCCTCGTTCCTTTCTGCCTGCCTGCAGGTAGTCCTTAATTTACAATCATTCATTTAAAAAAAAAATGCTTTTTAAATGCTTTAAAAAAATTGTTTAAAAAAGTTTAAAAAGTGGTAGCACTTTTTACTACCTATTACCCGAACCGTTTTTTTGTGTAAAGTGTAATAGTTGGTTTGTGAGCTCTCTGTGACTCTGTGAGGTTCCTGCTTGTTGCATGGACCATTTTGTGTGAAGTCCAGCTGCTTTTGCATTGTGTGCGAGTCTGCTTTTGCATTTTTGTGTAAAGTGTGATAGTTGGTTTTCCCAGTCACATGACCACCAAGCCACGCCCAGCCAGTCACATGACCACCAAGCCACACCCAGCCAGTCACATGACCAAGCCATGCCCAGCCAGTCACATGACTACTAAGCCATGCCCATCAAGCCACGCACAGAACAGGTAGGGGAAATTTTTGAATTTCACCACTGGATTAGTTTAATGACCACGATTCACTTAGCAACTCCAATGATTCATTTAACAGCTGTGACAAGAAAGTCTATAAAATCAGGTGCAACTCACTTAGCATCCACCTTGCTTAGCAACAGAAATACTAGGCTCAATTTTGGTCACAACTCAAAGACTGCCTATACCGTTTAGCCATATAGACATCCTCTGGGGCTTCCCGCAGTAGCTTCCATCTTTGCACTAATGTGCAGTGTTGTTCTTCAGAAACTTCTCTTTTGAAGTAAGGTAAGTATTACTAAGAAGTTCCTCAGAGTTGGTAAAAAAAATCAAGATGGCAGCTGCAATTGTGTGAATGAAGCCCTGCTCTGTTGATCATGGAGCTGCTATCTTGACTTTTTAAAAATTCTTCCTTGCAGATACCCCTATCAGACTGTCACATCTTTAATATACTGCTGTTAATATCACAAAGTAATTCAACAATACTGACTCTCTATACCAGTTAAACCTACTGAGTCTAAATCACTGGTTGTTCCTTTTTTTGTTTGGCTATGAATTTATATTAATCTGTTTCATTTGAAGATAGCCAGAATTCGCTTGTTACGTAATTCAAATATCACTCTGATTTTTTTCATTTCAAAAAGGCATGTTTTTAAACTATGGATAGAATAAAGAAAGAAAGAAAGTTCAAACAAGATGTTTTGTAATTTGTTCCATACTGATTTATATACAATTCATATATTCAACAATTCTTTTAAAAAAATAATCTAGCTTTTATCCCTTCTTATCATGGCTTGCCTGTTTACCCCTCACATGTTAATTGATTCTGCATTGTCTGTGACATTTAATGTTTATTATGGCTGAATTTCACTCATGTTATTACCAATCCATTTCTCCACTGCAAAGAGATTATTTTGCATTATTTTTTTATTTCCTTTCCCTATTTAGTTTGACATGCATGATTTAGCATCACACAGAACCTTTCATGTGGAAAGATGCAAAGAGAGTGGTAAGAAATAAAGTGCAGTTAACCTGCTATTATTAATATTAAATTATTTCTTTTTGTATAAATGATTGACATTATCAGGTTTACTGTTTTTATTGTTTTAGTCAACAGGGATATCTATGTCAATTTATATAGAGATATGTGTATTGTATAAATTAGAACTACTTTAAGCCAATTTAATATTATTTAAATGCAATGCAGCATAAATTTAAATAAATGCATGACATTTTCTCCAAGTTTTTTTATTATAACCTTACTGCAGATCTGACAATTCTTTAACCACTTTCAGGGCCGGATTTTCCTATAGGCTAACTAGGCTTCAGCCTAGGGCCTCAAGATCAAGAGGGGCCTACATTCCCTACATTCAAATTGTTAGCAAAATTAAAATTACACTTTCACTATAGGTGAAAGGGCCTCATAAGTGGAATAGCCTAGGGCCTCTTTTCATCTAAATCCAGCCCTGACCACTTTGATACCTTTTGAACATATATTGATTCAAGTTGATTAAATATTAAAACTATTTTATTTTTACTATATAAAAAATGTACTATATAAAAATGAAACTCTGCATTTGAACTGAAGGCAACAGCCAAAGACAGTTACAATGAAATGCTTTGCTTTATTTTTTTTATGAGTAAAAAACTGCTATCCAAACAAGTCAAATCCAGCAAACGTGAGGACCATAGTATAGTGTGCTTTAAATTATGCTTTTCATAATTATTCCAATGTTTTAAAAGCTCAGAAATAGGAATCTTAAGTCCTACAGCCAGAATTTCATCTTTACATTGTTATTTTTTTCTTAGCA